TGTTTTTATTCATCTTGGCCTTTATCTGAATTAATAGCTGCAAGCTAAAACTACGAGAGTTAACAGAAATAACCCTGCAATATTAAATAGTTTAGCAAATAAACCAGTGGATCTAAATAAATGAGGATATCATGGAAAAGTTTTTTTTCTCTGCAGTCCAGGTAAGTTTAACACAATATATTCATTTCATAGACTGTTTATAAGCATTTGTTTCTATGGTATATTTTTTAACTACACAGAAGGAAAACACTGCATTAGTTTTACAATACTGAGTCAGACCAGGGTTTTTATTTGATTTTTTTAAGGAAGGTGGGCTTAATATAAAGAATGTTAATATATAATAGGCACTTTTATGTATTTTACCTTTTCAAAAGAAGTAATTGGCAGAAAATCCAGAAAAGCATCCGTACTTTCATGCTATTTAATTCTCTTTTGATTGGTCACAATGTTTGTTGAAACCAAAATACATAAAGCCCTGTCAGAGGTGTCCTTGATTTCAAGCGTGGTACCAGCAGGTGGTGACAGAGGCTTTTGTCTCACTTCCATAGCAAAAAAATAATATATATATAAATATATATAAATCTGCTAATGTGAAAAAATTAATCCAAATCCCAGATGAGATTTGATCAATTCTAAGTTTTTAATGTCATTTTTGGTTTTTGGCAGGAAGAGTTACCGGTTTGTGGGATTCTACTCGGCCCTCAGGTCCACCTCCACCTTCCAACACTAATGTCTGTGCTCTTATCACTGTTATTGGTAATCTTACATTTTCTTTAAAATTTCAGTTCCTTTGAATTGAAATATTTCCTCTCATGTATTAAATGATCCTTCTGCTGTTGTGCAGCGGTCCTCTGTGTGCTGCTGCTTGTTGTGAGTTTCATGGCAGTCATGCACAGAAGAAATCGCAGCAACAAAGCTGTAAGGCCTGGATGTCCACAAGAAGAAGAGAAGAAGCATGAAGGAGACGGTGTTTCTAATCAGGATCAATCTGCAAAAGGCTCTATGCAGGGATGCCAAGAAGAGCTTTGGAGAAGATCCTTCACAGGCATCAGAGCAAAATCAGCAAACGCCATCCTCCTCTCATCTCCTTTCTATGTGCCTGAGGACAAAATTACTTTCCAAACTGGGAACGAAGTTCCTTTGGAAACTGCTGTTATAGAGACCGCAGTGTCCCAAAGTGGGGCAAGAAGGATGGGAGGACTCAACCCAGAAATGTCTGAATCCATGGACTCAATAAAAGAAGGTGATGGGGGAAACATTTTTGAAAATCAGGAATGTTCTGATGTCAACATCGACATTATACCATACCTGAGTATTGGTACCGTGCAGAACAAACCAAGCCCTGATCAAGAGTGTGCAGGAGGTCCAGGTCCACAGAGGGGTAAATCCATCAGGAGGATCTCCACCTGGCCTCCCACTGCAGCTCAGTGGCAGGAGAGGTGCAAAAGAAAAGAGGAAGAAGGGGAGGAAGATCAGTTTGCTGTTTGGAAACAAACTGTAGCAATGAAGCTCTCAGATAATATGAAGATCATGATAGAGGATCCAAGCGGCTCTGATCAGAGTGGAAAGGAGAAAGAAACCAACATGAATTGGACACTTTCTGGGAGCTCTAACCCACATGAGAGTCCAGTGAGTGTGGTGGAGGTAGAAGGAATGACCCTGGATGCAGATCCTGTCAGTCAGGCCCCGATGGGTCCCAGTGAGGAGCAGAAGTCAGAGGAACACCCTGCACAGAGGAACAGCAGCAAGATGAAGCAGAAGCAGTCTGTGACCATCAGGCAGAGGGTGGAAAACAGAGCTTCTGCTGGGTCAATAGCGCCCTCTGGTGGCGCTTCTCCAGATGATGAAACTCTGCTTTCAGGGAATGAGTATGCCTTCATGGACCTGCTTCATGAGGTGGTTCAGAACAACGGCCGCTGGACAAGAGAGCGATGGAGACACATTCATGTTAACAAGCAGCGGCGGTAAAGCAAACTAAAGTATAATCTTTGTTTTTTCCCTTTGAATGACGATTTATTCTGTCTGGGGTCAGAATGCTTCCATTATAGAGATAATTTGTCTCACTGAGTATAGTCTGAAGTCAGTTTGATAGTAAGTTTAATCAAATAATTTCACTTTTAAATGTTATATTTGTGTCCTCAATAAATTTGCTCAATGATTGAGGGTAAAACTGAAAAAAATGCCTTCTTAGATTGTATGAATGATTTCTTAGAAAATGTCAAATAAATTCATCAGCTGTTATCCCAACCCACTTTTTACTGAATGACATTTGTTTTGCTTAGAAACTATTGTCCATTTGATAAGACTGCATCATTATATATTTTGCAATTATAAAATTAAAATGTTATTCTATCGGTCAATGCTTGCTGTTGACAGGTCTGTATTCTGTTTATTATTTTTTTTTTGTCATTTCATTAAAGGAATATTGAAATAGCACCTGGAACAGAAAATGGATGGAAAGCTCAAAAAAGCTCCTCTAACAATGGGACTTGGATTCATTTCAATCCATCACACCTCCTAGTTATAAGTTTTGCCGTCAACATTTTATGTGTTTGCATGAGAGAGATGGAGAGTACAATGAAGGGATGGCAGATGGGGTCTTAAGATGTAAAGCCCACGTACACTATATTGCCAAAAGTATTTGCTCACCCATCCAAATTATTGGAATCAGGTGTTCCAATCACTTCCATGGCCACAGGTGTATAAATTCAAGCACCTAGGCATGCAGACTGTTTTTACAAACATTTGTGAAAGAATGGGTCGCTCTCAGGAGCTCAGTGAATTCCAGCGTGGAACTGTGATAGGATGCCACCTGTGCAACAAATCCAGTCGTGAAATTTCCTCGCTCCTAAATATTCCACAGTCAACTGTCAGCTGTATTATAAGAAAATGGAAGTGTTTGGGAACGACAGCAACTCAGCCACGAAGTGGTAGGCCACGTAAACTGACGGAGCGGGGTCAGCGGATGCTGACGCGCATAGTGCGAAGAGGTCGCCAACTTTCTGCAGAGTCAATCACTACAGACCTCCAAACTTCATGTGGCCTTCAGATTAGCTCAAGAACAGTGCGCAGAGAGCTTCATGGAATGGGTTTCCATGGTCGAGCAGCTGCATCCAAGCCATACATCACCAAGTGCAATGCTAAGCGTCGGATGCGGTGGTGTAAAGCACGCCGCCACTGGACTCTAGAGCAGTGGAGACGCGTTCTCTGGAGTGACGAATCGCGCTTCTCCATCTGGCAATCTGATGGACGGGTCTGGGTTTGGCGGTTGCCAGGAGAACGGTACTTGTCTGACTGCATTGTGCCAAGTGTAAAGTTTGGTGGAGGGGGGATTATGGTGTGGGGTTGTTTTTCAGGAGCTGGGCTTGGCCCCTTAGTTCCAGTGAAAGGAACTCTGAATGCTTCAGCATACCAAGACATTTTGGACAATTCCATGCTCCCAACTTTGTGGGAACAGTTTGGAGCTGGCCCCTTCCTCTTCCAACATGACTGTGCACCAGTGCACAAAGCAAGGTCCATAAAGACATGGATGACAGAGTCTGGTGTGGATGAACTTGACTGGCCTGCACAGAGTCCTGACCTCAACCCGATAGAACACCTTTGGGATGAATTAGAGCGGAGACTGAGAGCCAGGCCTTCTCGTCCAACATCAGTGTGCGACCTCACAAATGCGCTTCTGGAAGAATGGTCAAAAATTCCCATAAACACACTCCTAAACCTTGTGGACAGCCTTCCCAGAAGAGTTGAAGCTGTTCTAGCTGCAAAGGGTGGACCGACGTCATATTGAACCCTATGGATTAGGAACGGGATGTCACTTAAGCTCATATGTGAGTCAAGGCAGGTGAGCAAATACTTTTGGCAATATAGTGTATGTCTGTGTATTTAAAGTGTGTTGGTTTATCTTAAACTTATTTATTTAGCATCTATTGCCTCCATCAGTAAGTTTTATTCACGGTTTTCCTGTTGCGGTTATTCTATCACACCTTTTCCTTCTACTAAACTTTCTCTGAAGATGCACAGATTTTATGCTTTTTGTGACCATTTGCATGCCTTGCTCTTTTATTATTTTTATTGTGATGTAAATTCAACCCAATGTTATCATTTAGCTAACAGAAAGGTTAAGCAGTAATATTTCAAATGAAATATTTAAAGGCTACTCTAATATTTTCTTTGATGGAAGGAGAGGAATGCCCTCAGCAGACCTCAGAGTTGTGGTTATCAGAGTGATGTCAGGCTGTTGCTTCAGCTCTGATATGGCAGACAATGAAGGCCCTGCGTAGGATAGTGAGGGGAGCTGAGAAGGGTAAGGCTCTCAGCAGTCTCCTCACATCCTGTGTTAATTTATCAAATGGTTGTACTGTGACACCAAAAGCAGAACTACATAACTGCTATAGATTATATTTTGCTTAAGTTTATACATTATAAATTAGTTTGCTTATTTTGTTTAGAAATCTATTGAAGAATCGAGTCTAATAATCACAATCGAAATTATTTTGTGGTTTCCTGTTGAAAATGACAACATAAACTGATTTTAAATAAAATTAACATTGACACCAAAGCTACTTATGCACTTGGATGGATTCAGATCCAATAAAAGCTTCTTCCAGTCAGAGTATTTGGCTGCATGCAGCATTTATTTGTCCGCATCTGTATGTGCACTTCTCATAAGAAATAGTACAAAATGGATAATCCCTTTTTTTTTTTTTAACAATGATTCAAAAACAAAGTGGAGGTAAACTTATAACATTGGCTTTTCATAACATCAAGACAACATGCACATTCCATTCATATAAATACAGAGTATCAAATAATGGCTCCAACTTGCAAGCAGTTTATTGAGTTATGGGCTTTAAATATGGCAGCAGGACACAGCATTTTTGTCCTGCTAAAAGAAGGAAATGTTTAATTCTTGGCAAGCTTTTTATATCAAAACATGCTTTTAAGAGATAACATGCCCCATGTGTTGGTTAGCTTCTCACATCTGAAGACCCAGCGTGAAGTTTTTTTTTTAGAACTGTCAGAGTTTGGAGTGAGGATCCTGGTACAGTAGGTGTTTCATAAGTCAATCTGTACACTGATATCATCCTCTATCACAGACACTCATTTACTGCCTGTAAACCATTGCTTCTTACTCTGCCAACATTTTTTTGGACCATTTGAAGAAAAGAAAATCTAAGCAATCCCTCATCTATTACTTCCAAGATCATTTCAGATGAGAAATAAAACAGCATACCCAAAATGAAAATCTGCAAACATCTGCAGCCTAAATCATGAATGAATGCATGATGAGTCTTTGCTTCGCAGATTCATATTTTCCATGTTCTACAGATTCAAATTAAAGGGTCAAGCTGTTAGGCCCCACATGTCGCCGCAGAGCTTAGTGCAAAAATATTTCAAGTCCCTTTTCACTTTTCATAGGAACAAAACCGTGTATACAGTTCATATTTACAGTGAATAAAACCAAGATACAGATGAAAAAAAATGGCTCAGGAATTAATACTGAAACGTACACAAAGTGAGGCCTTAACAATTCAAACCAAAGCACTTCATTTTATAAATACATCTGTAAAATAAATGAGAAGAGGTAAATTCTGGATGATGTTTTTAAATTCCTGTGCAAAACATCCTGCTGAGCAGAACTTAAAAGGCATTTTAATGTGTGCTATCCATTCGCTATCAAATTGACCCTGGCTGACATGTTTTTATCAAATCAGAACTCAAAAAGGCAAACAAATATAAAGAATAAACAAAGTTATTTATGATATTTCATGGCTACAGTTGTAATGTGATCATTCTGTGTGGCTTACAGTGCTGGGAAAAAGTATTTGGCCCCTTTCAGACATCTTAATATACTAGAAAAAACAAACAGAGCAATAACTACACCGTTTAATAAATTCTCTAGATTGGTTGCTGTCTGACTTGTAGAATCAAGAATATATTTTAAGTAGGGTTGAAGTTTACAAACAGCAGCACAGATCTTTCTAACATAATGTAAGAAAGGCTGAGAAAATCAGCCACTGGAGTGGGTGTTAAAGCTATTTCTATGGTTTCTGATCCCCAGCAGTGACAGTGCTGCAAGTATAACAAAAAGAAAAAAAACTGACAAATCCTGAGGATGAACCTACTTTTTCACAGCACTGCATCTGCTAAGCATTAACCATCAACTAGATCGATTAGCTTAGCAGAAATGTTACAAATATATGGTTAACACTAAATAGTGGAGCCTTTACACTAAACTAAGCAAACAGTTTGCTAATTTTAGAGCCACATTTAAGAGGCAGCAAATATATTTAAAAAAATTAAAGGAAAATGTTAATTTATCTTCAGGCATCCCATGGATTGAGAAAGAAAACAGATGGAATAAAAATATAAATTTTGAATAAAATTTGAAGATAATGCATTTAGTATTCAGAATAAGCTAATTTTAAATAAATACTTAGGGTCAAACTGCAGCTGGTGTTATAATCAAGACTTAGTTGATTTTAATACAGATCAGGTAACGTGAATCATATATTAACCTCTGTGAAAATACACAGCTATTTTCTACATGATCTTCCTTCTGCAAGTTTACTTTGTGCAAGGTAGCAGCATATGTAGCAAACAGGTCTGAAAATGATAAAAAAAAAAGTCACACAAATTAATACATGACACGATAATAACAATATTTACAAATAAATAAGAGTAAACAACATGGCACAGAATGTGGAGCACACATGAATCCAAACAAGAGGATCACTTGATATTTCATTTTTTTGACCGAAGGGAAAAAATAAAGATGAAACAAATGCTAACTTGGCTAAGAAAGTTGCCCACTTGTGCAATCGCATACTGACAGTTAAAAATGTGCTTGTGAGGAAAAAAATGCCTGTTATAGTCCAAGAATAAATTGAAGGGTCATAATAACAGAAGAAAATCAGCTCTTTAAAAACAAAGCATGGTGTTTGATTTGTGTTTGAGGTGAAGGGGTAGTTTCAAAATATAAGCAGAACCAGGCGGAGAGGCAGTCAGCCTAAACATTGGCACAAGGGTAGCTTCTCCTCTGAGCTAAAACATTGATTGATGCGGTGATTCACTTTTATACACCTGCAAAGGAACCAACCTTAACCATTCGATTAGATCTAATAACGCTGCTGATCCCTGCTCTCAGACTCTGTGGAGGAAGCTGCTTTCACATTCTCTTTTGCCAGAGAGTTTAGTGAAGGGAATGTTTCTAACAGATCGGTGATTGTGTTGACTAGGCACTCTTCATGCATTCTCCTATATCAACTCTGTGGTTGGTCTCACAGGGCTGTTTTTATTTTTATTTTTTTTTTATGTGTTAAAACTCTGGTCTGAGGCTGAGAGACACCTAATGGACATTCACTTTGACCGCCGCCCATGTTAGACCTTCATCTGTGCAACTTATTCCCGCTCTGTTGGTAGCTCGTGGAACAGATTATTTAAAGGTGAGTCTCATTTTTTGTCTCTGTGCCAAAGTCATGTTGGTTTTTGGTGTTTCGACTGTGTCCCATCTGTGAGTCCTCCGGCATGTGTGCCAGTGGGTCCGAGCGAATAATGTACCTGTAAGGACAAGATTCATGATAATTCATTAGCTGCTGTGCCAGTAATAAAAAAGAGGCAGAGATGCAGAGAAACTGCAGCGTTTAAGCTCGACCAGCTGGTTGGAGACTAAAAAAAATATATTTCTCCATCCACTAAACACACAAAAACAGGTTTTTTTTTTTTTTCTTCAACTTTAAAGGTTCTCAAAACCAGTTGGACTATGATGTGTGGATGGCGCTGGCAGACATTAAGCCCACTCTACCCTACACACTTTTGTTCTGTTCTTATTAACAGTTTGGTGAAAACTTCGTTATTCAGTACGAATATAATAGTGGTGTAAAAATATTTCAGTTAATGATTTTATGCTTAACACATTTAATAGTTATTAAATATTGTTTTTAATATAGCATAAGAGTTAAAATAACAACAATGAAACATTCCTTTGTCCATATTTTGAAGTACCTTCTATGGGTTTGCAAAGGAGCCGGGACAGAAGCTAACGCCTTTAGGTCAGCGGGCTATAGGGGGAAAAGCTCGGGAACCTCTGGTCTAAATAGTTCATTTCGCTCTAACTTTAGTCCGTTCTTCATGCTTTTTGGAAAAAATGTTTCTTTTTTCAGAGCTCCCAAGAATACAAACTTATGCCATGTATTTCTTACTATTAAGGTCGGCACTTTCAGACCAAATCTAACTTTAACATTTTTCAATCTGCTTTCATTTTAACAGAATAAAAGCTGGTCATGTTGGTGTTTTTCTTTATATCCTTAACTTGTTACTGCGCTGTAGTAATATAAGATTTCATTTTCACTAAAGATCTCTTTAAACCAGATGCTGTTTGTAGCTCTCTGTGGTGTTGAATATTAAAGAGCTAAAAGTCTGAGGTTCAAGGAGGTCAAATCTCTTTCAATACACTAAAAAAATACATTTTAATCACGTGAAGCTGATCTGATATTCTTATGTGTTCTATTTTACATGTGATAAATATAATAAATGCCTCATTTTTTCCTACACAGTGTTTGCATTTTTTTGAACTTTACAGAACTCACTACAGGACCTCCTTTATTTTTATTTCTATTAGTTTAATTGCTAAGCATGACTAAACTTGATATTAAATATCCACCTATCAAATTAGGTTAGGTAGATATGATGATAGGATGATCTTAACTTAGAAAAATAACATTTAAACAGGATATAATCCAAAACCAGCAGGTTATAGATAATACAAAAAATAAATACACATTGAATATAAACTACTACATCTATTGCTTCATTTTTAACTTGCATTTTAACCTGAATCAACTAGTAAATCATATTTTTTGTGTGTGTATGGATATAAAAAACACATTTTAATGCTGAATATCAGATCATATTTAAAGGCAAAGCATAGTTGAAGAGGCACGTTTTAAGTTAGAGATTATGTACAATGCACAGAAATTTAAGACATCTTTGTGTAAATTCCAGTATATGGCAACAACCACAGTGGCTAGCTGCTTTTTACACTAGTGTTTACCACTTTAGGGAAAATAATCCAATAACTGCCTAAAAGCAGATTATTAATTAAGGTGTCAAACAGAATAAATCTAAACATACCATTTTAAATAAACAAGCTTTGCTTCATGTTGAAAAAGTCTGCTCTGGTCAATGCACAGAAAACTTTAACTGCAAAGTGAAATGCATAGTTTAATTCATTTTTTATGTTTTTTCAAATATAATCCATGGATTTAACTAAAACTAAAAACTAAAAATAAAAAATGAAAAGCGCTTTGTTTGTTTGGTTCGGACCCAAAGCACTTTTTTTTTTGTTCATTTAGTTTGGTTTGCATTCAAATTGTACATTGGCAAGAGGACGTAGACCAAAACCATGGGTGTGACAAGCTTTACTCTCATTGGACAGAAACAGCAGGGCGGGGAAGGGCACAGACATATTTATGGGAGATCTTTATGCAGCTTTGTGCTGTTGTTAGAGCAGCTCATTCAATGGAGATTTAGACATTTTTATTAAAAATTTTGGAATGGCATTTTGCGAGGCAGGAGATCCACTGCAACAGACATTTGATCAGGTATGATTTGGATACCACGTTCACTGCTATGTAGGATTGCTAAAGAGAAGCATACGGTAATTGCTGTAGTTACAGTCCATTTAGAAGCAGATTGAGAGCACCAAAAAGAATTATTAAATTAAAGGTTTGCTAAGTCAATCCAAACCTTCACAAAAGGTCCGGACCAAAGGAGGACACAAACCTGTTTTAAGTAGACCAGTAGGAATACATCCTTAGGAAAAACAAAAATATTCTAGAATAAATGTTTAATTTTTCTGAATCCACTAAAGATTTGAGTTTTAAACAGAAGGAGCTGATGACTCCTGCATCAAACAGCAGAGGATCAAGTAAAGGCTGCTTAAAAAGAAGACCAGGCCTTACACGATGTCATGGAGCTCCAGCATGGTGTCAGGAGGTGGATTGATGAGGACGTAGGACAGCGTGTTCTGGTGGTCGTTCATCTCGTCTAGAAAAAGTGGCAGAGGAGACCGTTAGAGCCGCTCTGGAGCCCTCCCTCGTCCACGTCCATTAAACCACAAATCAGCCAAAATATGGGGCCTCTAACCTCAGAAAGCAAAACATTCCCATATTTAAAATCTAAGTTACGTTTTCAAACAATGTAAAGGAAAAAACCGGACTTGAGTTTAACATTTGAATGACATATTTCATTTTTTAAAAAATATATATGTTTGCAAAGAACATGCACCATAATTGTTACCCTCAATGAAATTAATTTATTCCCAGTCAGTAAAACATTAATTCCATGAGGTAATAATTATAGAACTGATCTTAAAGTTTGGAATATGAGCTCAGTTTTTTTTTTCCTGTTATTTTATAATTCCACCTACATTAAAATCTACATGTAAAAAACATGATTTATTTGTGTATTTTGTGCTTTGCATTGATAATTATTTATGCTTGACTGTGGAAAACTTAAAGAGTAAATATACATTTAAAATTTTGAAAGTTGGTTACAAAACAGTTTAATTGTTTTATTATTTGAAACACGGCATTTAAAGCATCCAGTAAATTATAATAATAAAAAAAATAATACATCAAACACATTTAAAAGGAAAGCACAATGATTTCTAAGGTTGGCAACTTTCATGTCTTAATAAAGTCTGTTGTGAGGTTGCTCGTTTCAGACTCACAATGTTACTATGCTATGTAGGGTGCAAACTGCAGAATGCATCCTAAATTTAATTGCACTCACTTTATCCTGTTGTAAAACAAGTCAGTATGATGGTTTGGGCATGTTCTGCCCAGACCTTATGTTGTGCTCTCTTGAAGTGAAATTCAGTTTTAATAACTGACATTTAATAACTGACTTATAATAAGTTGCTCTAAAAATGACCAGTAAACCATAAATGTGTAGATATGAGATAATATCTAAATGCATGACAACAAACAGAACCATAGGGGGGGAAAAAAAGATAAAAAAAAAAACCTAAAATACCTAAACCTCTTCCTAATTGGTAAGATTCATATTTTTGAAAAACTGAAATAATATTTTTGCAATCACAATAATGTTCAATCTACTCTTTGAAGCAATAGTGTGATATTTGTAAAGTGTTTTAATCATTATCATCTCTATTTCAAAACATTGATTTCTTTTATATATAATAATAAAGTTCAACAGATAAAAATCTTTGAAGTTTAACTTAACAGCCTCATTAATCAGTCATAGAGATCTAATTTAATTTCCTGATATTACTCAGTAGCTATATCAGTGCATGTTGTATTTAGCTATGGTGTTGCGTGCTCTCTGGCTGTGCTTCCTACTGCATCTAGTGACGGGCGGAGGAAGGAAAAGGAGGGGGTGTGTGTCTCCATCACCCACCTGCTTGTGGCCCTTTACAAAGCCAGGCGGTGTGGGAAAGAGAGAAGGGCTAACCGTTACTGGCAGGCCACCCTGTGGAACAAAGGGGAGGCCCACATGCTGCCCGCTGACCCGCACAGAACCACCATGCCCAGCTTCAGAACGGCGCCGACATGCAGACAGCGTCCGCAACAAATGGGGAAACCCCTCCATCCCATCCCCTTCACACCGGAGCTGCAGGCTGGTAGGGCCATGCCACAGGACAGCACACTCAGCCTCCCCGACACCCACCCCGCTGCCGCCCCCACCTCCCCCACAGCCCAAGAGGTGACATGTCACAGACCCACAGACACAGAGGACATGCTCCAGCATCCGTCAGACCGGACCAAACGCAGAGCGACTGAAACCAAACGGAGAGTGAAGCAGAACACATCGGGAGTGTGAGAGTGGAAGAGATCAACCTGCTGGGTCATCTGCTCAAAGTTTAATCCCTTCACTGAGTTTCTGCTCTAATCCTTACTTTATCACACAGTCCTCAGAGTATAGGGATTATACCAAGGCCACAAACAGTACTGCTGATAAATTAATGCTGTAATTTCAGACAAAAAGGCCTTTGCTCTGTACTGATGGTTTACCAATCGACGTACTGGACGTTCATGCAGTAGATTTTTATAGTCTCTTAACAGATAATCAACAATTTTTACTTTTGTTCTACAGAGAGACTTTCCCCTTTATAATTCAAGTCTCTGCAGTAGTGGCACCATTAGTCTTGAAGTAGCAACAAAGGGGTTTATAACTGCTACTGTTTTTCACAACGGCTTCAAAAAATATTCCTGCCTCTTCATTATTTCATTACAAGAGCATGCTGTACTGTTTTATATTTATAATTTTTTTAAAGCATACATGAGTTATTAAGCATGCACAAACACATTTCATAAGGATTCTCACATTTACTTTGCGCATATGCTATTACAGCGCTTTTAGGCATTGTAATAGCCTAAAAGCGATTTATTTATGCACTGTGGAAGAACGGATGCAGGCAAAATATAATTTCTAAGAAATGAATGTTATAAATGTTGTTTAAATGCCCCGTGAGGCTCAGTTCAGGCTTCAGATGGAGAAGAGGAAGCGTTTCCCTCCGTCACGCTTTACAGTTTCAAGCAGACCTTTTCATATGTCAGGCAAACACACCTGCTGTAGCAAAGCCTTAACAAGCTTTAAAGTCTCTTTCTTTTTGAGCCTGGCAATAAAGACCATGGTATAAATCTACGATACACTCTGAGGTCCACTGCCGTTTGGAGATAAAGGGACGCTATAATGTAATTCAAGATTAAGATCAAAAGAAATTTGGAGTCTGAGTCTAAGCTTCCATCCACAGACATAATGCACTCCACTCCACTCTTTAAGCCATACTCTGATGCCCTGCGGGAATCTAGCCATTTGGGACGTCACCTCACAGGGACACAATGCAGCAAAGGCCAGATAGACAGAGACAGAAAGTGAGACAGGAGAGTAAGAATTTGGCTGCTGATCTACCGCTCATTCTGGCAGGAAACACACATGGAGAGAAACACCCACACGCCCCACACTCATGCAGAGGAGTTGCAGTACTGTGATCAACCAGCTAACCTGACGGCCTTGTCCCCTCTGTATACGGCTGCTCTGAAATATCCTGCAACTCTAAGCAATGGCATTCACTGTTAACTTCAAACTCCTTTTTTTTTTTTTTACAATAACCTGTAAATTGTTTACGTATCAGAATAAAAATGACTACAAACTAGTTCTTTATAATCTTGAATCAATTCAAATCGCTAAGCTTTACTGGATGCTGGCAAAAAGGAAATCAAATGCTTTCTCCACTTTAGACATAAGCACTGACATTTTGTAGATGTATGGGTTATAAATGACATAGTTTACCTTGCAAATATCCTAGATTTACTCGATTCATGACATCGCTCGCAGTGAGATTAGAAACATCCTCTACAAGCCACAAAGGGGGGAGACAGAGGAGTCAGAGAAAGACGGAGAAAAAACAAAAGGAAGAAGTAATCAAAAGATCAGGCAGGCAGTGAAACCTTTCTTTTTATGACAGGTGAGAGCAAAGCAAAGAAGCCATGCATTGCTGTGTGTGCACGGAAACAACACCAGATGATTTGTTTGGGATTTTATGCATGTTGTCATCCTGCAGCAAATGTGCACAAACCATGTTAAAATGCTAGAGTTTTGTGATCATTCTTGTGCAATGTGCTTTTTGATTAAATTCCAGCAATCAGTCTTTTTGAGTAAATATAAATATCAACTGTCCTAGAAAAAGCTTCAGGATATTTGGTTGTTTGCATTCTTCAGTTATAGTTTGATATGATAGTTTAGCAGAATTTGGAACCATAGGGACATTACTATAACTGGATGCCTCTTCATAATTAATAAAAAGACTAGATGCACATGACCAGCCATGCTTTCTATATATGTCTGGGCTACAAGACGGGAGACCATTTCTAGACACTATGTTCTCTCAAATAAACACAATCCTCACATTAAAATACGGCAGTAGAAGCATCCTGATCCAAGGCTATTTTTCTTTAACTTTTTTTCCGAAACCAGACTTTTTCATAAAGTTAATGTAATCTGTAACAATTTTACGTATCATTCAGTTTTATCTGAAGGCTTCAGGGGAAAGCTAAATGCCTGATTTATTAATTTATTTATTTTTACTATTGGCATCTATCTCAGAAAGATGCTGACAGTCTAACCAAAAATGACTGAATGCTGAAATCTTTCTTTACCATCAGAAAAAAACTGACATTTTAAGAGGAAAGTGAGTATTTATTATCGCTTTATTCACGTTGAACACAGAAGTTTATGGGTAAAACCCATCTGGGGTGCGATTCCGTTGCTTTTAAACATGAAGCTGAAAAAAGAAAATTAATGAAACTGAGCAGAGGAGAAATCAGGTCAAATGCAGCGCACTCAATGTTTAATGCGCCTGCACCGTCATGCATTTTATGATCATGTTTGTATGATTACGTGTGTGAAGGATGACTTGGATGATTTTAAAGAGGGTTACCATTATGATGCGATTTTCTGAAGAACCATGTTACATCTTGATATTCATTATATTCAATATGAAGAGAAATGGATGCGTTTAAAAAAGGGGCTGAAGCACAGATTGGAGTTTTAAACACAGCTGATCGCACAACAGAATAATTTAACTGGTTGAGTTGAGCCTCAGTGGGCAAACGTTCTTTTCTACCTTGGAAACTGTTTGAATCTTAAAGATTTGAACCTTAAAGATATGTTTAAACCTAAAAGTTTTCTAGTTTTAGTTTTAATGTTATTATAAGGTAAGTAGTTGGACCTGCTAAGAAACATTTTAAGTAGTATGAACAAGAACATAGACGAGTAGAGTCACTAAAACCATTTAAACAGAATAGGGGTCTCATGAAAAACTATCCTTGTATTCTTTTTTTTTTTAGCAAAATTAATCTAGTGCCTTACAAGATAAACAGATGTGGAAAGAAAATATTTTTCTAATGGAAGCAGGTGTTGTCGGCAAAGTTCTAGCTGGCAAAATTAACCTAATGGCTTTCTAACAAGCAATATGAAAACAAATTGAATTGGGAATAATTAAAATGTTTCTTATTTTAGTGTGTGTCCTGACTTATTAAAAAATTTTCATAGAAAATCCTGTCTGGGTAGTTTTACTTTTGAGTCAATCTAGATAGATGAAGATTTAAAAAAAAAGCCTGTTGGGTGATTTTTGCATAGTTTGATTTACAGAGAGTTTATTTGAGAGTTTAGTAGTGGTGTAAATATGTGACAACATGTGATTCAGCCGCTGTAATGTTTTGCAGATATTTTTGACTCCTTTGGTCAAACTAATGGATACAGGTTGACTGGTGTGTAAAATCTGGATATGTTATAGAGTAGAATAAATTATAAGCTATATAACTGTGTCTCCCCACACCATTGAAATTGAAGGGTTACAGAAAAGCATTAGGTTAGCACTGGAATCAGTTTGCTGATAACAAACACCACTTTGGTTTTCTACAAACGAAAAATCAGTTCTCTGTGGGCTTAAATGAGTCACACTGATTATCTGGATGAGAGTTAGTTGGAGATTTAAAAAATGCATATCAAAAATCAGGTAAAAATAATCTAAAATCCAGCGATCTCTGGAAAAGTCTTAAAGTTAGTCCTACAATGAAATAGTTTCTAAGTTTGCATTAGTGAGCTGTAATTTTCAGATAATTAAAATCATGTAAAACAAGTTAACAAGTCTTTTCTGTTACTCTTTTTTTTCTAGCGCCTGAATTTGTCCCTTCATCTTGGTAAAGTTTGCTCACTGAGTTTAAAGTCAACCAACTATATTATGTCTGCTCCAAAACTGCAATTTAAAATCAAAATGTGTTCTGAGCTACGACTCCAATCTGCTAACATTCACAGCTGCATCAACAGATTATGGATACATTCAATGACACAAACAGCTTTATCAGGTTCCGTCAACATTAACTCAATTTTGATGAATGTTATCACAACTACAATTGTGAAGTGATTTTTAGTGTTAGTCATCTTGTTGTGAGCTGTTGCACTCACCGTATCCCACAACTGGAAGCCCTAGATGCTTCATGCGGTTTTTGACCAGCTCGGACAGCTCCTGCCTCTCAGAGCGCCGATACAGATTGAGTCTCTGCTGCGAAATGCGCTCTGCTCTGCTTGGCGGTTTGGTGCTCTTCCTGCTCAGCCGTCGAGCCCACTGCATGCTCTTTTTCCTCAGCAGCGGATGCTCTGATTGGTCACTGGTGGTGGAGTTTCTGTGAGCTGTCTTCTCTTTCCAGGACTCTCCTCGGTCCCGGTGCTCCTCTCCATGCTCTGCGTTGATGGACACCTGAGACTGTAGTAGCAGAGAGGAGATACCTTTCAATGTGACTTTGAAAGCAAAACCAGGCTGTCTTTCAAAGGTTTTAGGTGGTAATATACACTATATTGCCAAAAGTATTTGCTCACCTGCCTTGACTCACATATGAGCTTAAGTGACATCCCGTTCCTAATCCATAGGGTTCAATATGACGTCGGTCCACCCTTTGCAGCTAGAACAGCTTCAACTCTTCTGGGAAGGCTGTCCACAAGGTTTAGGAGTGTGTTTATGGGAATTTTTGACCATTCTTCCAGAAGCGCATTTGTGAGGTCGCACACTGATGTTGGACGAGAAGGCCTGGCTCTCAGTCTCCGCTCTAATTCATCCCAAAGGTGTTCTATCGGGTTGAGGTCAGGACTCTGTGCAGGCCAGTCAAGTTCATCCACACCAGACTCTGTCATCCATGTCTTTATGGACCTTGCTTTGTGCACTGGTGCACAGTCATGTTGGAAGAGGAAGGGGCCAGCTCCAAACTGTTCCCACAAAGTTGGGAGCATGGAATTGTCCAAAATGTCTTGGTATGCTGAAGCATTCAGAGTTCCTTTCACTGGAACTAAGGGGCCAAGCCCAGCTCCTGAAAAACAACCTCACACCATAATCCCCCCTCCACCAAACTTTACACTTGGCACAATGCAGTCAGACAAGTACCGTTCTCCTGGCAACCGCCAAACCCAGACCCGTCCATCAGATTGCCAGATGGAGAAGCGCGATTCGTCACTCCAGAGAACGCGTCTCCACTGCTCTAGAGTCCAGTGGCGGCGTGCTTTACACCACCGCATCCGACGCTTTGCATTGCACTTGGTGATGTATGGCTTGGATGCAGCTGCTCGACCATGGAAACCCATTCCATGAAGCTCTCTGCGCACTGTTCTTGAGCTAATCTGAAGGCCACATGAAGTTTGGAGGTCTGTAGTGATTGACTCTGCAGAAAGTTGGCGACCTCTTCGCACTATGCGCGTCAGCATCCGCTGACCCCGCTCCGTCAGTTTACGTGGCCTACCACTTCGTGGCTGAGTTGCTGTCGTTCCCAAACACTTCCATTTTCTTATAATACAGCTGACAGTTGACTGTGGAATATTTAGGAGCGAGGAAATTTCACGACTGGATTTGTTGCACAGGTGGCATCCTATCACAGTTCCACGCTGGAATTCACTGAGCTCCTGAGAGCGACCCATTCTTTCACAAATGTTTGTAAAAACAGTCTGCATGCCTAGGTGCTTGAATTTATACACCTGTGGCCATGGAAGTGATTGGAACACCTGATTCCAATAATTTGGATGGGTGAGCAAATACTTTTGGCAATATAGTGTATCTTTAATGTTTTCTCTGCCTTCTACAAACCAACTGGATAATCAGACCATAGACTTACCTGTGCATTACTGTCCTTCCTCTGTAAGAGAAGGACATCCAAACAAAGAAAACGTAATGTAAGATGAAGCATTCAAAGCAAATTAAATCATTCAAAGCTTAAAAATATGCTCAATGAATAGTAAATATAGCATATTTACTATTTGATGCTGAGCCACAGGAAATTAACAAAAGCTTGATAAATTTAACTCAAAACTGCTTCGCAAAAATAATCTACAACTCAATCATTTTATCCTTTTATTCATTTATATTTTTGGTACATGACTTTATTCCTAACCCACCCAGAGGTAAGTTTCATATTCATGTTGACATTTGGTATTTTAAGTAAATTTCTATATTTTACTCAAAGCCTATGGTAAGGAAATGTGATTTATGATTAGGAAGGAAGGAAGGAAGGAAGGAAGGAAGGAAGGAAGGAAGGAAGGAAGGAAGGAAGGAAGGAACTTCATACATAAAAAAAATATTTTTATTTTTTATTTTAACTTCTAATTTTCTTTATTACATAGTTTTTTTTTTTTTTTTCTCTTTAAATGCTTAAAGACTCTGTATTCTCTAAAAATGATTAAAAAGAAGAGAATAAAATAAAAATGTTAGCCCGTTGGTTAGTTGTGCTGTTTTCAGAAGATGCTGTATTAATGTATTAAGGATAAATGCACATGAGATAGAAAGCTGAAATAACCAGTTTGGATTAAAAGTGTCAATAGAAAGCTGAAATAACCAGTTTGTTCTAAAAGCGTCACCCTTAAATAAAGTTTTCCCTCCTCTTCACTTCAGTTCAACAATCAATGCTCTGGAATACAAAATTGCCATTTATTTTTGGGGATTTTATTACCTTAGAGATAAGTTTCAATGATCATATTGAGGCAACTTAACTGTCCAACTATTCCCAAATGAATTTTTTGTAAAATCATTACATCTCTAATTGGCAATGGCTTGGCAAGCATCTAGTGTTACATCCAACAAATGAAACAATGGAATCTGATGAAGAGAGGTGGGAAAAAGAGATGTTCTCCTGATCTGCTAGACTGCTCCTTCAGCAGAAGACTCCTCCTACCCAGATGCACCACAGAGCGCCCCAGGAAATCATTCCTACCTGTGGTCATCAACCTATATAACGCCTACATCAAGTGATTCGAGATATTGAACTGGAAAGGGCTTCAACACAGTTTTTAAAGGGCTGCAAACTTAAGAAACCAGATTGTTTGACATATTTCATTTAGCATCTTTGCTCCTCTTAGAGGTTTTGTCATTCTTCCTGTGAATTGTAAAAAAAAAAAAAAAAAAAAAAGACAGTTAATCTTGGCCATCTTACTTATATAACACAATCCTGGAATTATATTAGTTGTATTTTAACTTATTTCCACTGTGTGTTGGAATTGGCAAAAGGCTAAACTAACCTTGCTCTATTTTATTCAGATTAAATTAAACAAAATAAACTATAACTGACAAGTAAAGCGAAAAACGAAATCACCCAGACTTCAACTTAATTTTCCCTCTAGGTTTTGTTTTAGTTTTCAGCTGCAGCTTCCGCTTATTACAGCAACTAACGAAGCAAACAAACTAAAGAAACCAATTTAGAGAGTAGTGTAATAAAAGCAAGCAGAGAAGGTATGAAAAAAGTTATAATTAAAGCATAATCGTGAAAGGGTAAAGATAAACCAAATCAAGACACCTCCTGGTATATATATATATATATATATATATATATATATATATATATATATATATATATATATATATATATATATATATATATATATATATATATATATATACATATATACACTGTAAGCAATTGCTGTAAATTTACAGCAAATTTTCAACACTAAAATACTGTTTTCTTGTTTAACAGTTCAGTACTGTAAAAGGCAATGCATTGTGGGCTTCTTAACTTGGAGCAACAGGACAGAGGCCGTAAACGGTATGCGGCTGTTTTAAATAACGGGATACTACAGTATTTTCTTAAAAAATTTCCAGAAGACGACTAGAGAACACACAACGTGCTACCATCTGTCTTCATCACAACGATTCCAGCCTTGCATCTAAAAAATGTAGCGGTACGTAAATCAAAATCTTTTTTTCTTTGCCTCTGTGTTTCCTATTTTATTTATATTGCCAAGAATGTTTGATATAGGCTAACGCTCAGGAGTTTGTCTAGCTAGGCTATATGTAAGCTATCAGTGATGCTTAGATTTGAATAGGGTAGTCAATATTCTACTATATTCTACTCTACTTCTCTACTATTTTGTTTTTGTTAAATCTTGGTTAACTATAATATACAGTAGCCGGACGACAGCTTACACACAGGCATGCACACCCCCCCACACACACACGCACACACACAGGGTATTGGACCTCATTAGAATCCCATTTGCTGTCACTTTACTCCACTCTGATCTTAGACTATTTTTACGATTTTAGGCGCTTCATTGGTATAAATCCAGAGAGAAGGACAAAGGCCAAAAGGGGGAAGGTTGTCTCCAAGAAGAAAAGTGTGATCCTCCAGAAGAAGTTTTCCACAGTCAACACACAGGTCTCCTCCACACATGCTCCTGAAGAAACTCCTTGACTTCGAATAGGACTTCACATAGATCAGTGAGTTTTCCTTAATCTTGCTGTCTGTCCATGTGTTGTTTTGACAATCTGGCATTGCCACATTAAGCCACAACAATTTATTAGTTTTATAAGCATTAGCTTGGAGAGTATATTGCACATTCCTGATTGTATAATATTTGTTTGTTATTGTTTGACAGTGGCTCCACTAGAATAATACTGCAGAAGAACAGTGGCTAACAAACGGAAAATCTTTCCTGGATCCACAAGATTTGAATCAGGGTGGTTCACACCCACCCAGATTCCCGGGAATACTACTACCTCACAGGACTACTTTAAGAAGTAAAGTACAGTTTCTTCCCTAAATGTTCTCTTTTATCCATATTACTGTAATGATGTATAAATCCACATGTTCTAACTGTACTGTAATAGATTTGAAATGGCCTTGATGCACTTTTTCAAAATGTTCTTACGTTTGTTTTCCACATGTTGTCAATTCTGCATACAGTATTCTGCATTTTCACAGACATCAGAAAATACATTGCAGATTACATAATATACATCTTTTAAGTGGAGTTTAGAGGAAAATTGTAATCTATCTCACAGGGCTATTTTAAGAGGAAAAACACATGCTGGTTTGCTGAATGTTTTTACTCATGATAAAAAAGGTCTTAATGTTCCTACTTTGAAGTAGTCTTAATAATGTTTAAACTCTTATTTCCTCTGTATTTGTTGTGTTGGTGTGTAAAAGACAATGTTAAATAATATTGACATTGGCTCAAAGTCAGCTAGTCAGCTGTCTCTGTTTGCTACTCGAAATATCTTCTCAGCATCACCCACCACGGTTTATTTTCTGGGGAGGTTTTTCTCAATTTTTTGAAAGTAGCAATATTCAGTATTATATTGCCTTTTGAAATAAATTATTTTGATTCTTTTTGATTTGATTGCTTATTTTGCACAATATTCATAATAATGCTTGAGCAACTGTCTGTTGAATAATGAAGCTCTTATATTGATTGCATGTATTCAAGGTTGATATTTTAGGAAACTGCTAAACTGAATTGTTGTATTGTGTATCTACTGTGCCTCTACAGTAAACTTAAACAGAATATTATTGTAATTTCCAAATAATATAAATATGATGCATTTATTTTTTTATGTATTAGACAGTGAAATCATTAAACAGTGAGAAAACAGACTACTACTGTAAAGTCAATTTACGGTATGAAAACCCTAAAATTACAGTATATCGCTGGTGTCCTAGCTGCCAGCTCTTTACCGTAACTCATAGAAATACAGAAATATACCGTATTTCTGGTTTACGGTCTACTACTGTAAAATCAATTTACGGATGAATACCTTAAAAATAACGGTATATTGCTGGCGTCTCTGCTGCCAGCTCTTTACTGTTATTTTACAGGACAATTACTTACAGTGTATATATATATATATATATATAATTATATTTTTTGTTGTATATTAATGTCAGATTTGATGCATCGGCTGGGATCTGACATGAGCGAATTCATCAAACTTACCTCCGACGTTGAGAACATGTGGGACTCAGTGCGATAGATGCCGATGGGAATCTCTGCACTGGAAGAACAAAATTTCTGGAAAAGCCGCCCATAAGTTCTGATCCACAAGTCCTCCTCTGTGATCTTCATCTGAGGAAGGAAGACTAAGCTTTTAGCCTGCACATGTTTATCCAGTCAAACTCTCAGGCCTTTTTACTTACAACACACAGGTAACCAGAGCCGGGTGTGGTGTCCAGGCCAAGGAGAAGTCTTATAATAGCGATCATGTAGTCCTTAACAAATGACTGTCAAGAGAGGAAAAAATAGTCCAGATGAGAATTTACCACTAAATTAACTGATAAAAGCTACAAGAAGACTAGTTAGTCTACTTCTAGGTCCGTACTTGCCTTAGGTCTAGAACTAGTTTGATCTTTTCTGTAAAGAGAGAATGTTAAACGCCAGGGTGGGTTATCTCACCTGGTATAGCAGCGTGTCGAGCATGCTGATACTGAACACCCGGCCGGCAGCGAATGGCAGCCGGAACATGAAGGCCAGGTTGGAGCCCTTATCTCTCTCAATCTGAAAAACGAGACAAAATGTAGAAAAAGTAGAAACTTGGACAAATTTCCAGGTTATTAGACAGGTGCATTTTATTTTGCATAACATGTAAGCTGAAAGGAAACAGACGGCAGGTTTGGACGCATCTTTCAACTGAAATGTGAAGGTACAGTAGCAGCCATTAAAAATGACCCTTCCCAGGCAAATTGCAGCCGAATAGCAGCCCACTTTCCTGCAAGTCCCAGCAAAACCCCCTCAAACTTCCAGCCACTTCAGCCACTTCCAGCCACTGCAGTGACCCCCTCCTTCTCCTGGGAGTGCATATTTTTTACTCTGACTCCACCCTTTCAAGGAATTACAGGGTCTGTCATGATTTGTGGATATTAAAATCTAAAAATTTTTATATCCACAAATCATGACAGAAAGAATATTCTAGCACAAAGATTGATGTTTAAAAAAGCATTGTAGCGGACTAGCCAAGGACCAGCCAAGGGCCCATCAGGGAAAGTGGGGAAATTTTGAATGGCTACTATGGTAATTTTCTTAAAAAGTCTGATTTACTTTTTTGTTTGTTTGATATGATAGAAACAAACAAATTAAGAAAACCACAAGGGACTTTTGATTAAAATTATAAAACAGCATATATTTGCCTATTTGGAGAGGCAGGATCAGAAATGATCCATAGACATTTTTTTTTAATGGAAGGTAAATGCCAAACGTTTGCAGACAATGCCAAAACATGATAGATTTTCAGGATGAATTAAATCAGTAAATCCAAACGTTTCTCTCATTGCACATCAGACCATTTCTAAATAAATGCTAACAATAAGGCTTATCTTTTGGATTGACCAGACTAATGACAGACATAATGTCAATGCTTCTTTAGATAATCATCCTGTTTCTTCAGATAATATGCTGTTAGAATGAAGCCAAGTCTACAAAAATACTAATTTCATTTTGTTCCAAGTATAAACTAATTTATAGAACATTTATCTGTTTTCCAAACCTATGGCCTATTGTGTTCCATTGGCCAAGCCTTTGTTGTTTTTATTAGCTGTTCTATTATGCGTTCTTTTGTTCTTACCCACAGAAAGGTCCTCTAGTCTATTTTTATATGTTAAAATACACCATTTGTTTTGCTAATATGAACTTTGTTCACCCTCCTTTAATTCTGTAGGATGAACTCCTATTCCTGTTTTTAGTAAATTAGACCTCAAAGTGATCCTGATTACATTGGGAATTTCTTGTTATAAGGGAGTGGTTTCTCTCTACTGTTGCCATATGCTTGCTTGGTCAGAATGACTCAGTGGAGAATGTTACACTTCTTTAGATAACTTTCTCCCAACTGGCAATATATTGCTTTTTTTGTATTGAACTGGACTGTATATAGTTAGATATCACTATTTTTATACATGTAGATCTTACTGGATTCAAATGGAGTATTTTGAATTTGATTTTTAACAAATGTAGAATCTTTAAATGGTTTAAGAACTAATCTGGTTATGTTTAAAAAATGTAATTGAGAAAAAAATCTATAGTAAACTAGCAATATAAAAATAAATTCAATTTAGCTGCCTTTGATTAATATCAATTAGACTGTTAATGCTTAAATGGTCTAATGTCACTGTGTTAATAAAAGAAAAAAAAGGTCAATCTGGTTTCTTGTTTTTAAATCAAATAAAAAAAACATAAATTGTAGGAAAAGCATATTAATTGAGCATATTAATTGGGTTTTACTTTACACTCTGTTTAGATTAAATACACAGTTAAAGAGAATTGTGACCCAAAAATGAAGTGATACTAAAAGGGAAATGCAGGGTCATTTATTGCACCAATGCCAGTTATAAACAGTACATAAACAGAGTAAATATCAAGAAAAGCACATTGCTACTTGGTTGCAGGAATACTGCAGCAATAGACATCAGTTTGCTCCACTTTTCTGCAGTGAAGAGGATAAGCTCTGCCTTGACCTGAGCTCTAAAGCTGATGGACATCTAGGCTGGCCTGCCCAAGCAACGACTGCTGTGATCTGAGGATTTCTTCGACAACTTAACTCAAATGAGAAACGTCTGAATTCACTGGAAAAGTCCTGTCAGAGGGCCTGATATGTTACAGACGGAGCTGGACATTGAAGGAAGATGTTATTTTCATGCGTTTTATTGCATTTAATGTGAAAAGTTAGCCAAAGAAAAGACTTTCACCAGAAGGTTCAAGGACCAGCAGGTCAGTATACATTATTTACACAAAAGTAACTTCAGATATGGGTACGTATCGTGAATGAAAAATTATATATAAGCATGATCTGAATAAGACATGAGTTCTAAAAGCCAATCATTTTCATTCTATCCTAGAAAACAAAAAGCAGCTCCAACAGAAATGAGTGACACACTTCTCATTTTGGCGGTGTGAGAATCATTTTAACAGTATTTTATCATTATTTCTAAATGCATGTATAAAAATTTATAATAAGACAAGGATGCCACAAGACCTTTAAAATAGATAAAGCAAAGGATAAACATCTTAAGGAAGAAACGTTCAAAATAAAAAGCAGTTAAAAGGATGATTAAAGATACTGACTAATATTAAGGTGGTTCCCATGCAAAATGATTAGAAGAGTCACATCAGCACTTGTGTAAATCACATATATCTTCTCACGATGTGGTTGCATGATTGATTTTAACATTTGTCACTGTCTAAAACAGACTAAAGTCTTTGAACACTTGCCTTCTCCAGTTTAGACAGAGCGAGCGAGTAGCAGTCCTTTGCTCTGAACTGCATGAACCGCATGTTAGATGGGTGTGTGAGCTCTGTGATGATGCTTAGACTGGGGAACAATCTGGGTGAGGAAGAGGAAATAATGATTCTTTGGTGAAAAGAATAAAAGATTTTTGCCAAAAACGAGGAACGTTCAGGGCTATGATAAATGTTTTTAATTATTTTTTAGCACCACGAAGAGCACCACAATGACAGAGAGTAGTCTTTGGTATCAGTTCATTCTCTGTTCATTAAAAAGATGAAAACATTAAATCCCATCATTAGATTTGTTTATTTTTTTAGTGAAGCTAAAAAAAAAAAAAAAAATACATATAATATTTAAAGGGAGAAAAAAGTATTCAGTCTCTCTGTTACCTGAACATTGTCTGGACGTTGACAATAGTCTTGGCGTCTGCCATGTAGTCTTCCTCAGCACTCATGGTGCTTTCTTTGTCCACAACAACCAGGTTATCAGCATAGATTATACCGCACTGGAGCAGGTTGTCCAAACTGGTGCATTTCAGAGAGAATCATAAGTCTTTTGCACAGTAAAAGTAACTTCTACTTTACTTACTTTATAAAATCATGTTGAAATCATTCAGTCTACTCTATTGTAGGGCAGCAAAAGCCAAATCCGGCTTATTTGTTTCATGATTTTGGCCTTTCGGGACTTTTTGATTCTGTTTAAATTTTCTTTTTTCAGTTTTTAGTTGCAATTAATTTATATCAATCTGTGTTTTCTAGGTTTCATTTTCTATTTTTTGTATTTTTCATTTCAAATTTTGTATTCGAATTCTTATATATTTCATGTTTACTCTCTGTTGCTTCCTTGCAATAGTCTCCTTTCCTTTAGCTCCCTTCTAGATCCTTTCGCCCGCACCTGCTCCCAATCAGTTGATTACTATATTCTTTCTTCTGTTTGGCATTTATACTCCTCCTCTGCAGGTAATGTTTGCTGGATTCTCTTCATTCCTCCCCCTTTGTTCTGGTTCCTGTGTCCCTTGATTAGTTATTTCTTTATTTTTGCTTCTGTTGCCACCATTTGTGATTAAATCTTCAAGAAACAACAGCTTGCATCTCTGCATTTGGGTCTTCAACAAACTCAACCTTACAATTTTATGAGAATCAGTGACTGTATCATCAGAGCCAAACTAAACCCTTCCTAATCATGCTTGTTAAAACTGCTAAGTGATTATGTGATCTAGTTGGGAATCATTTTGAATCTACATTTTAATAACAATAGCTAATGCTGATTTAGGTAAAAGCTAGGTGCCTTACATGAGCCAGTTTACATACAGGGACCCCTAAAATAAGGTTTTACACACAATTCACACTAACACTTTCATATTATAAAGCTGTAGATACACATGAAAAAAGCTGAAAAATAACCTAAATAACTATGTAAAAAAAATATATATATATAGTACTAAGATATGCAAAGGTTTAAAATAATCTTTTTATTTATTTAAATGGTGAAATATATTTTTATACCCCAAAAATGGTTTAAAATCTTTTTTATTGAAATACCAGTGACCAGTTTTCTCCATCTGCATGAAGCATAAAGCAACCCCCCTACACCACAGGCGGCTTCCCACCACAGCTCGCTACAACTTATCTAACACATGGATCTAATTTAAATGATCAAGATTGAATACATTTTACTAGTAATGTAATCAAGTAGTGTTACTTTTCTCTTTCATATTAAAAGGAATCATCATGATATACTGGAGATCACTTACTTATCAATAGTTCCAACCATGAAGTAAACCATTGGAAAGCAGCAGATAGCCTCTAAAAAGTGGTTATCAGGTCTGCAGGAAACAGGACACATTCAAAACCAATTATACTGACAAAACCCCCAATGACAGTTTATGAAGCTAGTCAAATTATTTCCTGAAATTTGCTTGCTAATGAGGAATGGATATATTTATCTGAATTTCCCTCCAAACTGGATCGAAACCATCTTTAATTGAGCAAAGTAGCTGCTTATGGATATCCATCAAGAGCTGGAAAACAGCTAGAGCTTTCCTGGCTCTACATTTGTAGGATTTTTTTTTTTATTTAAATACAAACATGGTAAAAAATGATTGAAATAAATAAAAAAAAAAAAGGATAAATCTAAAATTAATCAACACAGGTGGAAGGAGTTATGGCTTGTTTTAAATTGGTAGTAAATGAACACGCCATTAGGGGCAGTCATTATGACATTTCTATGTTCTGTATCTTTGTAGGAGTGAAAATAATCATGCATCAGGCTGGAACAGGGGTGCACAGAGACTTACTCATTGTCCAGGAGCAGAACTATTGGGTTGAGCTCCTTTCTGGGCCGATAATAAGCTCGCAGGGGAACTATGAAGTTGTAGAGCCCATTTCCTGCCATCTCTGCAGACACTATAATCAGCTTATTCTTGAAGCCATAAGACTTAGCATCCTCAAAGCTATTATGTTTGCAGCCCTGGGTGGAGACAGAGTTCAGCAGGAAGTCGTCAGGCTTTTAGCAGAAAAATCACCTTACTCATTGTCTGTTATAAATAAAAAAAAATACGAAAAAGCATGTGGGGAAATCCAACAGCTCAATTTCAGTGTAAAACTGCACCTTATTGAGGCAAAGGCAGCAGGGTGGAGCTTTCTGTGGAAGGAGGTGGCACAGAGTCGGAGAGCTGCCGATGTAGGGAGAGTTTGGAGGGTAACCCTTCACAAACCTTATGGAGGGAAACAGAAATTTACAGGTGAGGAGATGAATACAAGGGAAATACAGAACATTTTGATAATATTCATTCCCATCTTTGGCATATTGGTCATATAAACACAGACAAAAAGTAAAGATTGATTTTCAAAGAAAGGAAACACAGCCAGGAAGATGAGCTCCGATCTAGCTCCCACGTCATAGTAGAGCTTTCCACTTCCTAATGCTAATTATGGTTCCTGCAAAACTGCACCTGCATCTCTATGTTTAACTTAGTTATTTGTTTTATCAAATCGTGTGTTTGATTCCATAGGATAATTAATCCACATAAACCGGCGCTCTGAGAGGCTTCAGGTTCCCAGTGTGTATCAGATTCTGCTGCAGATTTTAATCATTCAACAGATGCTTTTCAGCCTACAGGAATGTTAACATGAAATTACATATCCTGTTTTTTTTCTTGCTTTAATGCAAATTAAAGCATAAACTTGATGCGTCGCCTTTAATGTTTGATGCTTTAGATGCAATTACCCCAATCAGTTGTACCTTATAACTTTGCCAGTTTGAGCCCTTAGACGACACCACCACATGATGGCAGTGTGGGACCTTAAGTTTCACTTTAAAATCTCTGCCCTTCCTTAAAAAAAAAAAAAACCTTTCAGAGGAGAAAAAGACAACTTCAACACCACCTCTGCGCCTGCAGTAGCAGAGGCTCAGAAGACCATGTTATGTCAAATGATAAAAATCGCTCTGAAAGGTGCTATTTAGGTTTGGCGGCTGATATCACACTGCATTTGAGTTCCTTTACTTTCTGTTCTTTAAACTGCTGCAACTGTGACTCTGTGTGGCTATCTTAAACAGGAACATTGACAGCAAAGCATCTAAGGAGCATCAGCTGCACTAAAAGTAGAAGGCTAACCTCCCTGTCCTGATATGAATCACTGCATCTTACAGCATCATGACACACCAATTATAAGCCTGCTGAAACGCCATCCATCTTTCTTTCTACAGCCACTGAAGGGATGTTCAAGAGAGAAAAAGGTGAGACTGATCAATTTCAAAGCACAGAATGCAACCATCACGAACAACACAGACCCACGGATCCCTGCTGCAGCTTGTTCATACATTTAAACATGTCTGTGCCACTTACTCTGACCCTACAGAACCCTCCTCATCTGATTGGTTGGTTTCATCCTCCGACTGGTCGCTAAGGAGGTCGCAGGGCAAAATTGCGGAGGAGTCAGCAATTTCCAGGACGGGTGCAATGCTTGGCCTTCGACTTCCGGCCCCGTTCTCAGTAGGTAGAGTCAGTTTTCCACTTTCCCCAGGAGGATCGGGGTGCTGGAGATCTATCGCTACAGTCCCTGAGATTAAAACAAGTGGATTTTAAAAAACCCCAAAGAGCATTGGCATTGTCACTGTAGAAATTAAACAACAGCACTTTACAATTAAAATTACATTTGTACATTTCTGACACTCAGTATTTTCAAACTATTCAGTAGATCTAAATGTTACATCTGAAAGAGAAGATCTATTTCTTTTCAGGCAGATGCCGGATAAACAGCCTATAGCATGCAAACTGCAGTGCTTGCAAAACATTCTTGACATACATCATATGACTGCTCATAATATGTTGTATGGCAATACCTCAATGCATTTATTACATGTATAACATACTTGCTGTATGCACAGCGCATACATAGTCTATTGTGTTTAAACCTGATATGTTAAAAAGGATAAACACATTAAGCAAACTATCTGTAGGGTGTAGTAGAAAGCAATTTAATCTTTATTTATGAGACTTTGTGGTGTTTAAACAAAAGATGATCCATGCATGAACTTACCATATGAGGTTGCCTGATCAACTTTCAGAAAACAAAAACAGGCACATTACAAAAAAAGTCAGCCAATAAAGTAAAGGAAAGTATAAATTCAGTCAAAAAATATCATGCAAAAGCAGTAAAAAGGCAGCCATCATTCAGAAATGTACAAAATGCTTTCAGGATTAGGACGAAGCGTCCATACTCTCTTCACACATGCCAACCTTCTCCTGCCTACCTCTCACTAATGATTTTAGGTTAAATGTTTCCTTTCCACGCTGTCATTCTTACCCATGCTGGCTATGATGCTGTGAACGGGAAGCCTGGAGGGGGCGTCATAGAGACCAGAGACAGTCAGACCCTTGGCATGATTCTCCTCCTGTTTGAAGATGAAGGCAGAGTTTTCCTCCTTGGTGATGTTGATATAGTAACAGGTGTCTGTAGCAGCCATGATGTGACGTGGTCCAGGATTCAGGAGGATGCTTTTGTTGTCTTCCCTCTTCACTCCGATCAAACACACTCCATACCTAGAGGGCAATTCCAAATGGATCTCAGCTTTCAGTCATTCTGTCCCGTGGATGATACTAATTCATTCTTAATTCACCAGCAGAGGATTTACTAACTTCTTGTGGGCATGAAAGGAGGCATAAGTGAAGCTCTTTCCATCATACTCTCCAAAGAACTTGCTGTCACCTAGACGGATGTGGTAGACCTCGTTCCCAGAGCAGCGTCCGTAAGTCCTCTGCCACTGCTCTGGCGATGTCTGCCCCTCCCTGGAAAAGGAGCAATTCAATATTTACTGTTTCATTCAGAGTAACAGTCATAATAACACTTATCTGAGGCGAATATACCATTTCTAGCCTACATGGTAATTAATGTTAAATTATTCTTGGCCTTTTTGTTGGTTTGCACCCATCTTTTTTAAGGGCTTCTGGCAAGGTCACTTTAAAAAGTTCATATTACTTTTTATGCGAAAATCCATGTTGGTTAAATTAAAACATTACACATAAACCTGCTGGAAGAATGATTAATATTAGGCTAAAATGTATATAAGCTCATACAGCATATATGCAAATACTCTGCTAATATTTAGGTACCGGGAAATAATCAATAATGACGTTAAAACATCAATCTGAGATCTTGAAGGATTAAAAAATGTTTTTTTTTTCTGCCAAAGCACAGATCAGTTAGACACATTCTATGCATTATGGTTCTATGCTCCTAGTCTTTGGTTGTTTTCCTATTTTTTCAATGTAAACACATCAAACACAAAATAGTAAATTGTAAAATTGTGTCTCCCTGTTATCACTACCAAGTAGTAGCATAGTATAAGTATAGTTTGAATTATTATTAAAGATTAAAGAACATTTCAACCTAATGGGAACCAAGCACAGCTAAAATAAGGCAGCATCAAGTAAGTTTGATTGACATGAAGAAATATGTCTTTGACACTCAGGGCCCAGCAGAAAGCAGTGGTTCTGCATGCAGTAGATCCATGTAAGTAGGTCAATTTAGGTTAGAGATGTCAGTGTCAGCCTCGGACACTGATGGTGATATGGAGACTGAATAAGGGAGGAAGCCATATGGAGGCTCCCCTTATAAACCCATTTCTCTACATTGTATTAGTCAGTGAAATCAATGGTGTCAATCAAACCCTTTTTTTATCTACTGCAGTCACGATCGCCAACAATTCTCATACAGGCCTTGTGTACTTCTGCCATTTTTACAATATTATTGTTTCAAATGGTCAGCAGCACATCAATCAGTGCCAATAATGAGTGGATGCTGACTTCTGACCAGGACAGTAGTTTTTGTCTAATTTAAATAAAACACATTTTCACTGCCAACTCGTTAAATATTAACACTTTTTGGTCAAAGCTTCCTGCACGTCACATCCTGACTTTAATGGGGAATGTGGATGCACAGGGTAAATGACACGTTGTGTCACGTGAGATACACCGCACTTTAAAAAAAAAGTAGCCTGCAGTTATTGTTAAGTTGGTAGCTTCAGGAGCACATGGTAACATGTATACGTGCTGATGGAAATAAATGTTTAATTTAACAAGAAATAGAGGTTCTGTTTTTTTTCCCATTTAAGCCAACATTTTATTTAATACCTTGCAGGGCAGCACAGATACAGTGCTGCTAAAATTCCTGTTAATATGCCTGTTTGGAATTTCACTGGTTTGCCCTAACTACTTAAGAAGCACAGGGAGAGATTCTCACAGATAATATAGACAGTTTCTCACAAACCAAAGCATTTGTTCAAATAACCTTGAGTGTGAGGGAGTATATTACCAAAACATATAAAGCTGGAAAAAAGCCTCTGAGGCATCAGTAAGTTAAGACCTGCATTCAGCCCCTTCTAGCAGGAGCTGTGCTTGAGTGAATACTTGTAAAAATAAGTACATAAAGATCAGCACTCATTATTAACAGTGTTATAGTAGATCGATATTCTTTAGCTTTAGGGGTTAGGAATGGGTTATTGTCCGTTTTTTTACTTTGCTGTACATCAAAAATGGTTCCACCACAGCCTGTCATGCACCCCCTACATCACAGAATAACGAGAGGGCTACCCCCATCATGTCAGATGCTGACAAGATGGGGGCAACACCAAACGTCAATATTTGACGAGTTGAAGCAATGTTTAGGCCACATGATTTTTATGATTTATTCCCAAGATTTGAGACAATAAATTCCGATCCTTAAATCTCAATTCGCCTGGCACAAGATGAAGAGGAGGATGAGTGTCTCTAAGGGCCTACTCATATGGATGGTCTCTTGAGTCATCAGGAAATATAGGCATCTTCAAAAACAGTTACCCAAGAAGACTGAGGGGACTAGACATGGTCGAGTAGAATGTAAATCCATAAAAGAAGACACCAACGGATCCCTCCGATTCTTAAAGGCGAGGTTCTCTTTTTCCATTTTATTCCCTCTCTTAAAATGAACAAAACCTATCAAATTAGCCAAATTTAATGAAGTCATATCAAATTCACAAACTTATCATCCACTAGTGCGAGGATTGTGGTTAGTCTTGAGAAGGTCAAAAAACTAAAGATTTTATTATGTTTCGGTATAAAATTCACCGACCCTAGGATTAGGTTCCCCCGAAATCTTCTAGGCTGAATCTTTTTGGGTTACTGGCAAAAATATCGACATTTAAAGTATGAAGAACAGTGTTCAAACATCCCTAAAAACAACAGTCAGGGGTCATTTATGTAACAAAGCTGGAAATCAAAGTATTAATTAAAAATTTGAATCATCTTAGATTCTGAAACAAATTGACTAAAATCTGTTTTGCAGATTTTAGTCAATTTTTAGGCGTCTCTGTCCTTTACAGGCAGAAGAAGCATGTTAGAATCTCCATGATAACATCTATGTGCTGTATTTCTGATGTGGTGAGAGAAGGAAGGGTTGGAGCCTAAAGGAAGAAACAGGTTGATATGCTTTCTGATGTGCTGACATCCATCAGTCTAAGTCTATATCTCTAAAAAGACACTTTCACAGAAAAAAAAAACATTCCTTTGATTAAACAATCAAGTCAAGCTAATTTTGTTCCTGTGAATCATAAGCAGAGTGAGAGAGCAAGAACAGAGACCATTATGAAGCACATAACCAAGGCCTCAAGCTCAGCATTGATTGCTATTTGTTGTTTGGACCCAGTGATGATCTGAGCCGAGTAGGGGAAAACTATAAAGGTTAATGAGACAAACACAAACTTAATCTGAGTATCATCCTAAAAATTATAGAAAATTTTACAGGTTTGTCACTTCTCTTTATACATGCTCTGCTGAGTGTCAGAACATTCAGCATGGCTGCCTGTGGTAGTTAGGTGCTGTATACCAAGTGAACTGGATTTGAGTATTTAATTTCATGCAAATCTACTCTAAAATATGTTTTTATATGGCAGACAGATAGACAGAGGAAAATGGGTAACACTGCTTGTAGTTATATACACATATGTGTATTTTTTTTTTTACATAAAAAAAACTGAAGTTAAACAATGAAAAAGGCTCTTAAAAGAATCCATTTATAAAGCAGAAGGTGTGTGTTTACTTACTGTCCTCTGGAGGTGTGAACCAACAGAGTCACTAAGGTGGATGTGGCTGGACACACGCAGTTGAGTGCCAACATGGCGTACTTGAACTCTTCTTCACATACAACGTGATCTGTTGAAAGGAATTCATTAACAATCCTTTACAAATTGATGCAGTTGTGGTTTTTGAATGCATTATATTTCATTTTTTGTACCTACCGGCAAATTTGACATGAAACTTATTTTCCGGTTTGAGTATCTGTACGTATAGAGGACAGTTGGGAGCAAAGTCTTTTGCAGCCCAAGCCCTCAAAATAGTCTGGTGATCCTGCAGGAGGAGAAATATCCTTTTGAGTTAATGCTCATGCTTAGATAATCACTGAATTTACTGCCTCATCTTTATTGCAAAGCATTGTTCTGGATATCTAAATATCTTAGAGTGACAAAATAAGGGTAAAGTATGACATGAAGGGAAATGCCCCTTTTCTTTGTTCATGCAGTTTATGAAAGGGTTCATGCTAGAAGTCGCTTTACTTCACTTACAGCAGCTGTTCGGTCGGCTTCATTGCGGCTGCTCAGGATGAAGCACGCCTCAGCATCATCCATCCTAAATCAGCCACAGACAAAAATGAGGATCTATGGCCTGGTTCAGGCAAGCATAAAATGTAATATCCAGGTAAACAGGTGCCTGGTTTTGGAAGGATGCTTATGTTCCCAGATATGAGCTCTAAAGTTTAATAGCCCAAAGCTTAGATGGAAAGAATCAGTAGTTAGATGGCACTGAATTGTGAAAGTTGCAGCAAATCAGGAGGGAAAGATCAGCTTACAAAGTTACAGGGGGAAATGGGCTCACAGAATCACGCAGTGTAGCAAGTCTCCATCCAGGAAATGATGTTGATTTCTTTCTATAAGGGGCCCTTCACAGTTTTCAGCCTTTTCACAATCATACAAAATGTGCACTGAGGGTAGGGGGTGTCATGTTTACGCTATAATGATGCCATATGACATGCAGAGTTAAAATATAAAAAAGTATGTTTTGAACACTTGTGAAAAGGCTGAAAATCATGGAAGATCCCTAAATATTAAAGCAAAGAAACACATTTCCTTATTCACTCTTTAATAGTTGTATGTTACTTATGACATTTGACCAAAAAGAGTGTGAAACGCATTGAAGACAGCCAACTAAGGAAACCAACATTAGGGACTGTAGCCTTTACACATGCGTGGGTCGCTGACTGAGCCTTACAGTGCCTCACGAAGCAATTTCCCAAAACACATCAACACATTATGACTCAGTCGTTAAAAGATATTAAACAATATCTAGCTATAAAAAAAAACTACAGTTGGGACCTTTTTTATTCCTGTTAATGCCTTTAGTCTTTGCTCTGTGCAGAGAATGATGTTAAATTCTATTACAGTGATGTGCAAGCAGAGGGCAGCCAAGATGACTTGTGGCTAAAGCAATCTGTAATTGCAAAGTTAGTGGATCTGTTTTTCCAATGGACCACTTTTTAAAAAAACAGGTGAGTTTCTAATGCTTTCTTCGAGCATGAGTTAAAATATTCACCTTACTGCAAATGAGGGGAAGGTGATAACTTACTTGGCCCTCATCAGATCCTGGTCTTTGAGAGCAGATCCTTGCAGGTAGATGACACGCTGAGACCACAGAGGAATCTGCAGGATGCGTCGAACCTGAATGTCTATTTCTGTAGGGCAAAGGATCACCACGTAATAGTCCTGCAATCAAGCAAACAAAATTTGTTTTCTGAGTTTCAATAATTGCTTTTTAAAGTAATGTTGAAGATTAATGAGACATTTAAAGTGTAGATCTAGTCTAAGATGCGCTCATAGTCTGCTACACATTTTGCATATTAATCACCATACCCAGTTCCATATTTCTTTAATCTTAGTTTGCTATTTTCAAGAACTGTACAGAATTGTCTGTGTTGCAAGTTTGCTCTTAGACTATTCTACTTGTTTTGTATGTTTTACTTTTATGTCTATCTGCAAGCTAGCATTTTCCTGACACTTTGCTAGTGGTGCACCTGAGCTTCCTCAGTTTTGGAATAATAAAATATATGTTTAGTTCTACCCATTTGTGTTTGAAAACATTTGCGAAGGTGGGTGTTGATGTTGGAATCACTTTCCTTCATATTTACTTCAGGGATTCCATCTGACTGAGATACGATTGTCCAATGCTTATATGTTTTTGTGGATGCCGGAATCTCAGGGCTTTATGTTTAAAAAAAGACATACAGCATTATGGAGTTGGGTAATCAGAGTGCAAAATACGGAGGTCTGGGGGGGGGGGGGGGGGTCGACCCCCCCAATTAACCCATGAGACCCCCTGAAAGCCTCAAAAGCAAAATTTAAAGGGGTCTTATTGTGTCAAAAAAATTTAAAATAAAATATTTTTTTGTAACTAATGGTCACTAAAATGTTTTAAGCTCAACATGTCCAGTATTAAAATTCAAAACCTTTATTCACAAATATGGTCTGTTTTTTGCCAAGTGGAGCCAGCCAATCCTGTTCGCGTATGCAAATTAGCCATGTGCTTTTCCGCAATTAATAACACGGGCAACCAGACGCAGAACAGATTGCGGGAAGACAGCATGTCTTCACTCCTGTTTGTGGACTTCAACAGACCTCCTTTGGACAAATTCGACCCAGTTCCATTCGTCAGAAACTGGATTAAAGCAGGACATATGCATGTGTATGTGAAAGAGAGAGACAGACAAAGAGACAGAGAGAGACAGACAGACAGTCTTTGTGCATGTGTGTGTTTTCATAGACTGACTGTCTGTTCAGGCTCTTGCCAGCTCCACCAGATTCACAGAAAACTTCATCCACCAAGCTGTCAGGAAGCTAAACTCTCTCCCCACAGCCGCATCCTCCAGGCTGTCAGGAAGCTGACCCCCCCTAAAAAAAAAATCCCTCCGCACTTATAAAGACGCTCTTTTTATCAGGAGGTTCTTGACCCAACAAGTGTCAGTGGGTAAAAAAAAAAAAAAACTGATCCATAAACTGCAGTTCAGTGTACAACTGTGTTCAGTTTTGCAATTCCCGTTTTGCAAAAGAACTACGTTCATAACCAGAAGGGAAATGCATCCATCTAGAAAGGACCAGACTAGTTGTTCAGACTAGGAGCATCAGTCTCCCCAATTCATAAACCAAATAGTTATACTAAGTGTTTCGAACAGGGGTGCAGCAGGGGCAACTGTTCATAAGAGCAGCTGCAGAGTCAAGAGTAGAATGAGACTAGTGCATGAGGTGCATAGAGAGGCCAGCAGAATCACTCAGGCTAATGTAAGTGGTAAAATATTAATGTAGACTCAGTAAGACAATGATGATTGTAAACCTCAGTAAGTGGAGGTTTACAATCATCAGGAACATGCTGATGGGAAGAGCGCCGAGGGACTTTTATCTTAGCATTAGTACAATTTAGACTACACTTTAAGGTGTAATGCAACATGATGTGAAAATATCTAGTCCTTTATTTCAGTCAAAACAGAGAACCCTGATAATAGCTAAACACTTTAAGTCCTTCGAATGATCACATCAGGTCTAATTGATCTAGCTCGTCTTACACATACGTAGACAAAAAGGTGTTGCACATTAAATTGGTGAAATAACAAAAACAAGCAAAAGTAAGCTTCCTCTTCCCTTTCATTTGTGCTGATCCTAAACGTAACATCTGAGCTGTTTACATTTGCAAGCAATAAAACATACGTAACAGTAATTATTTACATGTGCATCATCACTCTGGTTCTCTGGGTAATACCTTTACCTTACAATTACTACCTTATTTCATTATTAATATATCAGTGAACAACAGACTATATTGGATTCATTGTGTTTGGCAGGGCAAAATAAAATAGTTTCTTCCCAAGAAAACTAAAGGAATGAAAAAATACAGTAAAACAGAACAGGTTCAAAAGCAACATATTTTGACAAGTAACTAATATTTATTCCTTTTTATTCCTTCCTTTTATTTTAAGATCGATTCCATATAGAATTCAAATTGAACTACACGACTTGATCTGGAAAGCATCATGTACAAATTCTTTGCAAAAGGAAGGAAATTCAGTACAATATTTTGAGCTGATTGGGTAATTACCTCCCATGCTGATTTTTTAGCCAATCATAGCAGCAGTAACAGCTTAAATAGTTTCACAACTAGTATAAAAAGTATGCAATCACTTTGGACAAATGATTGCATACTTTTCATATCCACTGAAAAGAGATAACCTTGATAAATTTTCCCATTTAGAGATAATACCAGAGGACTAAGCTTACTACTTAGATTATGTTTGGGGATATTTCGTCATCTAACTCGAAATTACTTTTCTTAAGGATTTTGTAAGAACCCAGTTATCCTATGATGTACTCCTACTCATAATCCTACTGTAGCTGATTTATTTTCTACTTACAAGGGTTTTCTTGTTGTTAAATTGACATGTCTTAAAGTGGACCACAGTTGAGACAACCAAGCTGTAAAGACAGATACCTGCAGCCGAGGATGAGCGTAGAATTCATTGAGAAAATCCATCAGCAGGTCGATCTTGAGTGAGCTGACACATAACACAACATGTTTCTCAGTCTGTGCCCGGTGACGGCTGTAGTTCCCCCCCAGCTTCTGGCTCTCCATCCACAGGTATGCTAGTTCTTCAAACTGATACATTGAAATAGAAACAATGGTTAAGAATAGAGAAAGAGGAATCAATTTCTTGTCCAACAGTTAATTTTATGTAAACCTCTCATTAGGAAATTTTGGGAATGATGGAGCAAGTGTTAACTAGCATATAATTTAACCAAAGATTTAATTAGGAAGCAGAAACTCCTGTATTAGCCAAAAGGTCTAAAAAATTAAGCTCCCTATTAGTTTCTGATTTTTTCATCAGGCTGCATCAACTGCAAAAAGTATCCTGCTAATATTTGATAACCTCAAAAAAAGGACATCTAGGGAAGCAGGAAGTGAATGGATTCCAAAATATATTTTTATAAAGTTTGTTTCATCTATAACGTGGTTCATACCTGGAGCGGAAGGACTACCAGTGCAACGCAGATGAGAATTACCACCAATAGCTGTGATGGCCAGATCTGGGGAGTGACATCCCCATAGCCCACAGTGGAGAAGGTGACGATGCAGAAATAAAAGGAGTCAAACAGGGATAAGTGCTTTCCAGCTCTCTCAAGGTGCTGAATTCCACAAGCTCTGCAGAAAGAACGGGTGACCAATATCCTTCAGGTTAGGACGATTGAAATAAAAACACTTTATAAGGTATACAGCTACACCAAGGTATTAGAAGTTACTCTTTTAAGACTTCTGAAATGTTCTGACATTTAAGATCCTAGTTTTTAAAGCTCCTCAATGAAATACCAGAGATAGTGACAGTTTTCTGTGGCTGAATAGAGAATGAAGCTGTGTAGCATCGTTCTTTCCTTCTCTGTTTCTGAGGACCATCAGCTGAATCAAGGCCACTATGTCAAAGAACTCTATAGAAAGAGTAAAAAATCTAACTGTTAATACAAATTGTTGAAAAAGAAAGCAAAATATAAAAAAGTTACAGCGCTATTCTATTAAACAAAACAATTCCATCACATTTTATTCTTTTTTTAAAGGGTAAACACCCTCTTATAGTGAAGCTGTTCATTTTTACCCAAGTTTATGGCACTAAGAAGATCTCCTTCTAGCTTATGTCTAAACGTATACATGTCTCATTGAGACAAGTGGCTTCAGGATCACAATTTAGCCTTCAATTTGATTAGGACCAAAGGGCACCAAAGCCAATGCAGCGTCGCCTCCTCCTCATGTCCTCGGTTTTTATTTTAAGGTGACAACATTGATTCTTCCTTCGGTAATCTCCTTCAATGCTTCTGACAATTAATGTGTTTTTTTTTGTTGAAGATTTAATCAAACCCTGAGACATGGGAAATGAAGTTGTCAGGGTGTTGGTCAGGGCCAAGGAGGAGCCACGTTAGATTAAAACGAAATTGGTGCTATAAAAGTCCAAATCGATAACACATCCTATAAAGAATAGGTGAACTACTGAGAGTTGAAGTGTTTTATTGTTAGATGTAAATTCTGCACAAGAATTACAAGACGGGCTGCACATGAGTTGCAAATAAGAAAAAACAAAACAAAAAAGTTTCTGAGTAAATAAAAAATTGTCATGCAATATTAGAGCTAAAGAAAAACAATTGTAAAAAAAGAACATTGACCCAAACATTAGCTTTCCGAATGCAATTGTTTTTTATATGTGCATTGGACAAGTTTACCATTTATTTATTTATTTATTTATTTATTTATTTATTTATTTGTTTATTTATTTATTTATTTCAAACAAATGCTCAGAATGTAAAATGAGCCTTTTCTATTTCCAGCATTTTCCCCTACAGGCTCCATCATTCAGTTCAGTTCGAGTGATAGCGGCCAAATTCTCCTGGCTGTCTGAGGATGTGACACGCTGCATGCTCTCGTTTACCACTTTTCTTTGTTAAATCTCTGCCGCAGCGAGAAAACAGGGGTGAGTGTCTGTGAAGATGGCTCACAAAAGACAAACAACAAGTGTACCTGAAACCTCAGACCCACGCAAGAGTAAGAAAATAAACATTTTGTTTGAAAAAGGCCAAATTGGAGTAGCAATAATATGAGAATAAGTGGAAAATAAATATTAGGGAAGCTTTCAACAAAGAGGGAGCTCAGATCTGTCCTGTGAATGTCCTCAATAATGTCAAAACGGCACATAAAATATATATATTTTTATAATAGATTATGGATCACAGAAAGGCTCCTTAAGACATTTCAAAAATAAAGCAGTGAAGGGTTTAAAATATAAACAGCAAATAAGTCATTTTTTGCTTTCATTTATTTAAAATGGATTTTATAGAAACAAATGAAACAAAATATATGATAAGCATTTTTTGTGTGTTTTCGGTACCTTTAAGGAAATATGATGCATTTCCATTAGTTGAGTTTTATTTCTAAAATCTGCTTATAAAATAGATTTTCAGTTAATCTTGGGGTGTTTCAGATGAAAAAAAAAATTACAATAAAAGAGCTTGAGGGTTGTGTGCAGTATATGTGCTGTTCCTACAACTGCAATCTTCTGGACCGATATGTCTGATGTATTTCCAGGGATCTGCTGTAACCACTCTTCAAGTTTGGGGGTCACTGCCCCGACTGCCCCAATGATCACGAGTACCACTGATGGCTTGACCCTCCAGGTTTTATCCAGCTCTTCTCTGAGCCCCTAGTATTTTTCTTGTTCCTTTTTACCTGATGTTTCAGCTACTTGGTATTGCTACGTCAACCACAACGGCTTTCCTCTGCTTTTTGTCCACCACCACAATGTAAGGTTGGTTTGCCATTACCATTCGTTGCGTCTGTATGTAGCTTTCCCTGCTAGCATCTTACACCCAGCAGTTATGTGCTGGATTGTCTCAGGAGCCTCTTTGCACAGTCTGCACCTGGGGTCTTGTCTGGTGTGCTCAGCAAATGTCTCAGACAATGGGGAACAGAAGATGAGGTGCCAGAGACTCCATCATTGGAGGATAAGCCTATACGTGTGATGTACCACCGGAACATAAATTAAGTGGCGGATATCAGGAAATCCTACCAATAGCTAGACAGAGTCGGAGTGAAGAATAGCAGAGGCACACATCATGACTGCACAGGAGCAGGATCTGGGCCTCTATTGCCACCTGGTTGCATGACCTTCATTATGCAAACTACAGTATTTTCTTTCACATTTAATAGCTATGATGATTTTCCTTCATCAAATCACAACCAAAGTGTTATTTTGTTTAATTCATGCACGTCAGATTAATCCTAATGAATTCTGCTCGCTGAGTGGCAACCCCTCCTTTGCTGAAAAAATAAGTGTCCATCACCTAGTTACATGTAGCGATGGTTTACCCGCTATGCTGTCCTTTCAATAAACAACACGCTGTCTTTCTCTGATGTGCAACCACTGATGTGAGGCAGAGTGCAGTTATAGCTGTTTAGAGATGAGACAAAGTTGCTCCTCTAGCACCTAATCTGCGCACTGAGAGTAACTGTTAATTTCTTAGCTAGTGCATAAGTCACAAAAATTTGTTTTTCAGCTGAGATGAGTCTCGAAATTTGTTTAGCCTCCTAAAGAACAGCCAGATCACCAGAAGTGGCGAGATGCCCTGCTGATACCAGGCTGCAGAAGCTCTAGGGTGAAATCATGAAATAGATGGCACCAATACAAAAAGTGTGACAAGAGGCAGTGACACAGAAAAACAATAAAGTGTTTTTGTTCTGGTTCGAAAAAATAGCACCAAAAAAACCCAACAACCAATATTTCCTTAAAAAAATAAAAACTCTGTAGTAGCTACAGCAATATTTTATTATATGCGTGCCTTTAGTTGACTTTGGCAGGCTTTTGAAAGCATTAAATAGGACTTTTAGAACAGCTATTCTTATCTTTCTATTTCTTTATTTAAACTGGCTGTTTTGACCTGTTTAACTACAGCAGAGAGTAAACGCAAATGTAAAGTTTTCAGCTTATATTTTGCTTTTTTTTTGGGTGTATTTCATTGCATTTAAATCCTGCAGAAAAAAACAACAACAAATAAACAAAATGATGCATGTACAGTATGGTCCCCCAACTCTTACAACAACCAGAAATGGGATATCAAGCTAAGAGATGCTTAAGAACCAGATGCTGACTCACCCTGTGAACACCAGACACAGTAAGGTGCAGATGAGAATGACCACCTGGTTGAACATTGCGGAGTGCGTCCTCTGAATGGCACGATGGAAGTCATTCTGGGCACAGAAGAGAAGATTGTCATGCTGGTGTTTTCTGCTGTAGATACTCTATAATATTACAAAGCTATTCCAATTTCTAAACTGCATAGTATCCTTTGCTTTCTGTATATTACTGACCCTTTCAATAACTAGAATCTTATTCATTTAATATATTTTTTCAACCCAGTGACTAAGTAAAGTTAATTATATAGATTAATTACTAAATATATATATATATATATATAAATATATATATATATATATATATATATATATATATATATATATATATATATATATATATATATATATATATATATATATTTTTTTTTTTTTTTTTTTTTTTTTGTTAATTATAACAATGTTTTGCTTATAGTTAATGAAAACACAATATTAAGAGTATTGCATCAGACCGACTAATATACATTTTGGTGCAAAGATATACTAAGAGACATCTCGAAATTTAAAAGTTTCTTAAAGCTTCCTAAAATGTCCTAAAGCTGATGTACATTTAAATCCAATTCACTATTCTGCTGCTTTTATGTTAACTGTCCTTCATATATGGCAGATAATGAGTGGTTCTCCTTGTTAGAGTGTTCTGGCTGCCACCTCCTCCCTGCTGGCCTCAGGTTTAACCATCTGCTAACTACAGCTTTGGCATGAAGCGCTCATTCTGTCATTGCCTTGTCTGAATCCCAGTGATATTGCATATAACACTCATTAGATTATGACCCAATTCCTCTCAGACTTAGTACGATCCAACGTCTTCAGAATTTTGTGCATCATTTCATGTCGAGCTGCGTAACTTTCTGTATCATTTCCATAACACCTCATGGGTAAATATCGAGCCTTCAGCCCCCTGAAAATAACTTTTTTTATGTAGTCATGAGTGCATCTTCTCTCCAAACATGTCAGCCAACTGCTTCAGAATAAATCACTGGTTTTAGCTTTTAAGGCCAACTAATTAAACAGCAGACTAATTCATCAAAGAGTACAGCATTACTGACAACAGTGTTACATGGAAGCTGGCAGTATTACTGCTATTAAATGATGCACTGCCTCATGAACAGATTAGATGCATTTACCCAAAGAGTGATATCAACTAAACCATAAGGAAGAAACGGGCCTAACCAATTAAATTATGTTCAGTGAGACTGTGTTAAAATCAACAGCTAATTATGTCAATCTGCTTTAAAACTGTATAGCTGCTGGGAGGGAAATGATCCATCAAATCCCGCAGAAGCATCGACTGTATGAAGATTTTATTATTATTAGCTATAAATGTATTGTAATTCATTTGTACAGAAAGAATGTAGATCTAGGGTTGTAATAACCAGAACAATGTTTCAAAGAGGCACTCAGTTCACAATAAGGCAAAAAAGTTTCCATGGAAAGGTGAGAAATCAAAGACAGTGATGCTTTGGTTTGTCTTAGAAAAATTATGATTAAAATATTTAGACTGTAAAAAAATGTTTACCAAAGAAAGATAGGAAGGAATTTCAATCTGTCTTCTTCTGTAGTAAATATCATATCATATCATTTCAAGTAAATTCGGTGCTTAAATCATAAATTGTAAAATGTATACAAACTGTTTTCTGTTAGACACCCGAGCATTAAGAGAAAAAAAAATGTAACTTTAATAACAATAACTATTTTAAAGTGTTTTTTTGTAAAAAAAATAATTTAATAGCATACACTCAGTTAAAATGAATGTTGAAATGTTTATTTATTTCAGTTAATATCAAAAACTAAAGGCACATTTCATTTTTATTTTTGGTAATTTTTTTTTTGGTTAATTTTACTTACAACTTTTGAAACGTCCAGTTTCCCAGTAAGTTTTAATATTATACAAGATCAATACTAAGGATTGTGTAAATACCTGCATATTCAAAAATAATTTACACTGATGTATCTGAGCGTTGGCTCCAAATGTGGAAAAAAAAAAAGTAAACAGTTTGACCTCTTGCTTTATATCTTTGGTACCAAACTATTAAAACATTGAAGAACGTTAAAAGTTAAAAGAAGTATTTTAAACTTAGGAAGATTGAGGGAAAATAAACTTGAGAAATGCCATTATTGTAGTGCTTTCGTATTCATCTTACCATTTTTCATAATTATAAAAACATAATGTCTAATGCTAAAGTGCACAGGATCTGGTTCTGGTACAGAGACTTACAATCATATTTTCCAGCGCAGCTTTGGCAAGCCAGCAATTAAGAAATACAGGAACAAATATGTCTCTTATTCGAGCCCAGAAGATCTTAAAAGGAGAAAAAAGAAGACAAACACAGCGTTAAACAGATTGCTGTTGAGTCATATTCTTTTCATATGGATTAGAGATAAACAAATACAGGCGTTTATTCATTTGTATAACTTTCAATCTGTAAACGTGATATAAGTAACAAATCCTTGTTACTAAATTCCTATTTAAATATCGTATTTCATTGTTGCCCTATTAAGCTAAATAATCAGCATCATTAAAGATTCAATATGGTACTGTCCAAAAAAAAGCTACCCTTAATTTGAACACTTTTTTGCACCCTGTGCAGCAATCACTGTAAAAAAAATAAACCTCTACATTAAAATTGATCTTGTTCAATCTGTATCTTATAACCGGTTGCATGTCTGTTACTTAACTTATGTTGAAATGCAAAAAAATTCGCGTTCAACTAGAAATGTTTGAATCGAAAGAAGAGGGAATCTGAATGCCTTGTTTATTTAGGCTTAAAACAAAATGACCCTCTCAATACATGCTCTAGCTGGTACCACACTTTATCCATTATAGAAGCTCTTTGACATATGTAGAGTTTTCAAGCTTCCCTCAAAGAACAAATAAAAAAATGTTGCCTCACTGCAAAAAGGAAAAAAAAAACAAAAAACAAACAAAGTCACTAGAACATATATCTGCTTTGGTTAAGACTATATTACGGTTAAGATGGTTGGGACTATATTGTTTTCCAGAAATAATCTACATGTTCAGTAACTCCTGCCGATAACTGATATTTACCAATATATGTCATACATTTCCTAAACTTTGGACACCATGAAAGCCCAACTACAGTGCTGATATTGCTTCTCTACCTCAGTTAAAAGCCAACAATCCTGAGCTGCATCTCAATCATTGTCACATGATCAAACAAAGACCACCCGATTCCTCTTCCCTCCCCCCCTGAAACCAAAACAGCTTCTACATGGAAATAAATATTATTCATTAATATTTGCCTTTTTTAGCTTATCAGATCAATGCCTATAAAACAACTGTTGGCTGATAACAGTATTAATACCAATACATCCATCACCAGACTGTGGGTTTTCACCTGCAGTCTGGCTTTTCTGTAGGTCCCTCCTGTTTTCTCGAATTAAGTCCTTTCTCGTCCAGAAAGTGAAATATGGTCAGATAGGAAAGCTAATTATTTAGTTTTGGAAATTAGCTCAAATGGGTTCAGAAGTTTTAGTTTTGCCCGTCTTTTTTACCATTTGCATCATCTGTCTGCATTTTCAACTGTTCTCAACCTTACCGTCTATAATGCATTCATGATCACCCTGCACTGATTTAAAGCCTGTTTAAGAGTACAAACAAATCTGTTGGTAAACATGGCACACCTTATATATTATCTTTGTAAAATTTGTTTACTTTGTTTGTGTCGATAAATCACCTTTAGCTTCATGTGAAAGAGTGTTCATTCAGCAGTAATGGTTTCAACAATTGTTTTTTGGTATATAATTTTATGTTGACAACATTCCATTAAGTTTCCATTTCGAAATGTGAAAACACAGTTTTATGCAGGATAAATAAAATAGAGAACATAAGATGAATTACTCACTGTGATAATAAATGGTACTGTATTAATCATCTCCAATATGAAGGATATCTGGAAGATCTGCTCCCAAATGTTCCCCTGGAAATGAAATGTATGGGAGATGATTGAATATACCAGTAAGGTTATTATTTCAGGCAGAAAAATGATGAATATTCCAATCAGGTGAGTTTTTAAACCCTGTCTTATAAGAATTCAACTACAGAGGGTCCATCAATCAATATATATCATTTCCTAAGTAGTACAAAATATAATAGCAGTAAGTAGTAGCAGCAGTATGGATGCAGTGAGAACACATCCTAAAGGACTGAGACAGTATGCTGCTCACATGCAGGGAATAAAGCTATGCTTAAGTTTTAGCAAAGGAGCAAATAAAACGCTTGCTGCAACAGAATAATATTCAAGGCTTTAATTTATGGGCTGTTAAAAACAGCTAAATATTTTGAAGCCATTCCATTAAAACAACCCACTGAGGCAAGAAGAGCGTGACATGGTCAAAAATTAAAGGATTAACGGAGTATTAAGTATATACATTTCCCCAGATCATCTCGAGGTTGAAGTTTAAAGCGATTGTCAAATATGTTTACCTTCCTCAGAGTAGAGAGAAGCCGTTAAGCGGCTGTTTTAACAAAGTTCAGGATGTCAATTGGACTTTTTTTATACAAAACATTGCCTCTGTATTCATATCCCTTGAAGTTCATTATATATTTTCATCTTATAAAAAGAAAACCCTTTATTTTTCCTAAGAGGAGATATTCAGGACAACTACAAAGTTCAGTCGATGGCAATTAGGTTTATGAGCAGCTGAACCTCTCTACTAAAGCAGAGTGTAAATAAAAAAACAACAGCATATACAACAACAACAACAAAAAAACAGTAAACGCTGAAACAACAGAGGTATATGAGCATGGCATGAAATTCTCTTCACTGCCGTCAGGGTCTACAGTGTGCTAAACAACCCTTCACTAACTAAAGCTTTAAGTCCTTCGGGTGGGTTTCTACCACTTTTGCTAACAGAAGAAGATTTTTAGCCAGTTCTTTGAAAATAGCTTAAACTTAAGTCAGTGTGTGAGTGTGTGTGAATGGGTGAATGACTGAATGTAGTGTAAAGCACTTTGGTGAAGTCGCCTGACTTGAAAAAGCGCTATATAAGTATCAGCCGTTTACCATTTTATTTAGACTGCATGGAGATCATCTACTGTATCAACACCAGTTTTTATGTCTTTACATTTAACTGCATGTAAATCTATATCCTGACAAAGACATTCTAACACATATATAAGTTGTTTGAATCACGGGCTGTATGTTTAGGGTTGTTCTGGCGCTGGAGGTAAAAACTCTGCCCTCGGTATTTAATCTGCAGCTTTTATACCCTACACACTATCTTCCAGGTTTGAAGAGTCTCCCAACCCTTACTGAAGAAAGACCGCATCATAATGCTACCTATATCATGTTTCACAATGTGTTTGAGGTAAAGTGCGTTGATGAGGTCAAGAGTTAAACTCTCCCCTCACAACGACACCTTCTTTCATATTTTACTGCTGTCTTCTCAGATACCTCACATAGGACATAAGAGTAGGTACATAGGAGTCCATGCTGCCATACCCTATGTTATTTAATAAACCAACTGTTTAGACAACGTCTGAAGCCAATCTATGGCAGTGAATTTTATTTTATGATTATTAGAGTTAATGGGCCTAAATGTAAATGCATGCCACACTTTTCAGATGTCTATTTCTGCAGAATTATAAGATTTATGTAATATTTAGCATCAGCTCCCTGATAATGACTGTTTTCTTCTTTTTTCAAAAAGGTTCAGTTCTTCAATCACAACTAAATTTGAAGCTCTGAGGCTTCTTATACGGTAATAATAATAATAATTGAACTTTATTTATTTCACACTGAAGAAATTCACCTCTGCATTTAACCCATCCCCCTGAGGAGCAGTGGACTGCCACTGTGCGGTGCCCAGGGAGCAGTGTGAAGTTAAGGATCTTGCTCAGGGACACAGAGTGCAGGCTGTGGGGATTGAACAGCGTACTAGCAAACTTCTCCGAGTACAAGTGCACTGCTCTAACCACTAGGCCAACACTCCCCAACAACTTCACCTCTAAGATCTCTTATGCCCTCTCATATGCACCCTTCAGAGGGATATCAAGACTAAACTGTCCCTTTACCTTACTTACGGTATACGCAAAATATAATCTAATTGTATTAAATTATACAAACAAAAAAAAGAGGTCCAGACATTCCTGATCAACACCCAATAAGATAAGAGAGCACATAGACAAAAACTGTGAAGCAAATCGGTTCCTTACCTTGTAGCTGAGATATGTGATAAGCATAGTCTCCAAGAAACCGATTAAGGCCACTGTCACCTGCAGGAGAGATGAGAAGAAGATGGATGAACCTGTATCTGCTGACTCATCTCCTCTGGCTTCTTAGCTTTCACTGGGGAAATACACTAAGCTATATGTTTGTCTTATAAATGAAACTGAGTTTAGTGTTTAATTACACAGAATTTAGTCCATGGTGTCCAATTTAATGTATACCCTTTCAAAGCGTTGCAGACAGCCTTACCTGTATAGCCCACACAGGTTCCCGTCTGCTCACCCAGAAAATTAGGCACCTGCATTAAGTCACAAACACCTATTAAGTATTCTCTGAAAATTATTTACAACTAAAACTCTAATGAACACATACAGTTCATTTTGCAAAAAGCATACCATTTGATTTCTGTAGTCTCTGTAGCATTTAGGGAACTGTCATTTCGACATGGACTGAAAAAGAAAACAGACATTAAAACATCAATAAGAGAAAGACTTAAGCAGGATTAGTGTTTGTGGGCTGCCGGTTGAGCTGTAACAAATAATGCTGGAGCAGAAGCAATCAGGAGAAACACGGATGTTTTGCTTTTTTTCAAATAATTATTTCGAAGGCAAAATGTACCTGAAAAAAAGGATTATTTTGCAGAGCAGAAGATCTGAGCTTTTTACCTCAGAAAAAAACAACTAACAAAAACATATAAGAAAAACAGCTTTGGGTGTTACTTTTTTCTTCTGTTGTGGCCACAGGAGGATTAATCCATGAAATTAGTCTATGTTATTTTTGTGTTCAGTATTGGTACTGAGATAAAGGAACTTCTCTGTCACATTCTTAATGACTGAGATGCAATTATATGATCAAACACTTATTTTGAAACAAAAATCTATACTTTTTAAATCAGTTTTGAAGAAAACGCTGTTATATATTACAGAATGGAACATTTAGTCTTACATTTGTTCATCTGTACCAAGTAGGAAAATGATCTGTGTTCAGTTTACATTAAACCAACAAGTTAATTATCATTATGTCTATAAATCAAATAAATTATCATAACATCTTTGATTAAGGTTAGTTTTCAAATTGAAAAAGAGATTTTTTTTATACATATGTAAAGTTACTATGAACTCCAAAAATAGACTTATACACTATGGGCCGGATCTATCAAAGGTTTGCGTGTATTAAAACGTGAGCTATTTCACTGTGCACGCTAAAAAATGTACAAACTGATCTATCAACAGCGTGCTAAAAGGATTTGGTCTTTAAAACGTGCTAAATAGCGCCTCTTATCAATTTAGTACTTTTTCTGCTATGAATATGCAATATGGGGCGTTTACACGCAAAAGTGCGTCTTGTGGGAGGAGAACATGTAAATATATTAATTTAGCACTCGCAAAGTGATTTATCAAACCTGAAAGCAATTTTGCTAACGGTATCTGACTCTATATTTAACACGTTTCAAAAGAAAGTGCAAATGGTCTGTATGCGTAATTGCGCACACATGGCAGCGGTTATTGCCGCAAGAAGGAGACATGAAATGAAGCAAGGAGACGCAGAGAACGCATTTTTTCACTCCGTGTGAATATCTTTGGAATGAACGAGGAAACGATCATCAAAACATTTCGTTTATCCAGCATTGCCATTTTGGAGCTGCAATTCCAGTGATTTGCTCCTCACAGAGCGTCAGCTGTACTTGTTCCTCAATGCTGGTCAGAGGCATCTCATCTACTGTGCCCCCTCCTGCTTTGTTCGCAGATGTTTTGTTATATGCCAGTTTTTCTTTGGTTCGCCTTCTAATATCCTGGTATCTTCTTTTTACTTCATCCACTGTTCGCAAGGTTTCACCAACAGCGTTTACTTTATTACAGATTTGTTCACATATAGCGTTCCTCTGTGTGACAGTCACACTTTTTTGCTGTAGTTCACTTAAATGTTTGTTGGCTTCATCCACCAACACCTCCATTTCCATGGGGTCGAATTTCCTTTTGCGCTTTCTGCTGTCCAAACTCGCCATGCCGCAAACCACCAAACGCGCAAAACCATCATTTAAATAGGGCGTCTCCAACAGTTTTGCACCTGCCACCAGTTACGCAATCGCTCTTGTTAAATCACCCGCAAACCATGGTTCAGCCCCTCGCGCAAAATTCCAGTTTGCGAGCGCAAATTACTGCACGCAAAATTGGATCTTGATAAATCCGGCCCTATGTCTGAATAGGCTACGTCAGTCATTTCATTAAGTTAAACTTAAATTAAATTAAATTGATTCATTATACATACAGTATATATCAAGCCTTTCATTCTAGCAAATGTGAACATTAGGGCTTACACATGATGAAAAACAAAAACTATTACAACATTAACTTAACAGTACTATAATTCAAAAAGAAATGTTGGGCCTTAAAAGTATGCTAATATCATTGCACTGAATGCTTGGTTGGGCCTCCTTTTCCGTGAATTATCATTATTATTATCAATGCAACAAGGTAAGGAGGTGATTCAACTTCAGGTCATCTCTATCTTTGATTTCTCTGTCTCTCATCGTCCTCTTTGACAATACCCCATAGATTCTCTGTGAGGTTCAGGTCAGGCCAAGCTACTGGACTGTCAAACACAATAAGATCAAGGTAATCACCTTTGGGAGTGCTGGCAGCTGCCACATCTTGCAAAAAAGAAAATAAATAGATAAATAAATAAATCAGCATCTCTATTAAGCCAGTTAGCAGAAAGGAACCAGAATTGCTGTCAGATTTCCTGATTGATGAGGCTGTGTTGACTTCAGAAAACACAGTGGTCCAACACCAGTAGAAGACATGGTACTCTGAGTCATTGCTGAGACTGAAAACTTCACAGTGATTTTAATCAACATGGATGTGGTGCCTCTTTATTCTGTCTTGAGATTCTAGGACCTTGAATTTAAACTAAAAAGCAATTGTACCAAATATCCAAAAAAAAAAAAAATGTTTAGTACATTCAGTTCATTTTTCAAGCTAAAAAAAGCTAAAAAGCTGCTGCAGGACCATTTCCTTAGATTTCTATGAACATTCTTGGATAAATTACTCTGTGAACAACCAGCTTCTTGCCAGAAAAACCTTGTTGTTTAATCTCCTTGTGGTGGTTGTCAATGACTATCCTCTGGACACATATCAAATTAGTATTCTTTCCAGACATTGTGTTGCTTGTTGACCAAGACTGATCGATCATTTAGAGGCAAGAGAAACCTTTTCCAGTGTTTTAGCCCTTTAGTTAATTAATTACCCAATGATATTAGCTGATTAGGAAATGATACAATGGTTTACTAGCATTTAGAATATTCACAATATTATGTTTTCTGAGCTACATATATTGAATATATATTTAACTGTTTTGGATATTCATCAAGGACTAGCAATAATATTCAAAAATGATGCATCTGCAAAGTGTTCACTACACTGCTCTTTTTCAAAATGTTGTTGTTACATTCTGTTTACAAATGGTATCAAATTACTTTCTTTCCTCATTATTCTATACCTCTACCCCTCATGTCAATGTTAATATATATATATATATATATATATATATATATATATATATATATATATATATATATATATATATATATATATATATATATATATATATATATATATATATAAAGGAAACATTTACCATTGTCAAAGAAATAACTTAAAAGGAAATTCCATGAAAATTACCAAATTAAAGTCAGACACAGAAATAAACTCATGAAAAAGGCCTAGAAAAAAATTATGATATGCATAAAAATGACTAAAATAATGACACAACAGGAACATGTTAAATCCACTAATTAGCATCACAATTGTAAACAATCAGTCAATGGGCCTCTCTATAGAGCTACAGGCAAGACAATTTGCTGTTTGGGGACATAGTATGTGTACGATATTTAACATGGACCAGAAAAAGTGAAGGAAAAAGTTGTTTCAGGAGATTAGAAAGAAAATTATAGACAAGGAAGTTAGTAAAGGCAAAAAGACCATCTCCGACAGCTTCATGTGACTACAGTTGCACATATCATTTAGAAATTCAAGATCCAAGGGACTATAGCCAACCTACAACATGGCTGGAGGAAGAAAACTGATGACAAATAAAAGAGATAGAGATAGTGACAAAATAACTCAGAAAAATGTTTAAAGAGACTGAAGGTAAACTTAAAGCTCAAGGAACATCAGTGTCAGATTGCACCATCGTTGTTGTTTAACCCTGAGTGGACTTAATGAGAGACAACCAAGGAGGATTGATTGTAGAAAACAAGTAATAAAAAAGCCAGACTAAAATTTGCCAATCTACATGTTGACAGGCTACAAAGCTTCTAGGATAATGTCCAATGAACATAGATGTTCACAGACAGAACAATGAAGCATATCATGAAAAATAACAGGTTCCCTACTGTGAAACAGGGAGGCTCTGTTATGTTCTAAGGCTGCTTTATCTGAATCTCTGCAAGGTATAATAAAATCTTAAGACTATAAAGCGATTCTAGAGAGAACTGAAACAAACCAAAAACCAAAACACCTGTTGAGGTGTGCAAGAGTGTCATTGACAGTTACAATAATTGTTTTATTGCAGTGATTGCCCCAAAATGTTGTGCAACAAAATCTTAAATTAAAGATAAAATCATACTTGTCTGGGCTTGGATTTATGTCTTCATTCATTTTCATAAATTTTCATTTATAATTTTATTTTTTAGATATAAGTTATTTCTGTGATCATTGTGGGTTTTTCATTCATTAAATGATTTTATATAATATAAATATCAGGGTATTTTAACTGAGAAAAGCAAACAATGAAGCAGGAACGGCTGATTGTGAACCTTACAATTGATCACTGTTGTATTCCGTGGGGTTATCCAGGCTGACTCTCACAATGTAGAGGACACAGGTGAGAATCTTCAATGCAAAGTTGAACAATCGAATTCTTAGGCCTGTGGAGCAGTAAAAAACATCCATATCAACATCTTGCACTCATTTACATCCAATGTGCTTATAATTTTAACTTATTGGTGATGCCATATGGGTTAGAGTTACTGTAAATAAAAAACATCCATCACATAATTTTGAGATCTTTTGGATTTGTATTCAAAGCTCAGAAATTAACCCTTAATCCCCGATTCATATTGTTAAATAAAAAAATTGGATTTATATATTTTTCACAGGTTGAGTATTTATACTAGAGAGATGTGTTTTAGACAGAAAGAATGTATTGTTTTTATAGCAATGTATGGTATACTATTGTTTTCTTTTGCCCTTACCCCAGGACAACAGGTGCAAATTAGCCTTTGGCTCAAATCTGGTGTGTTTACATGTATATATGTTCATTAACATGCACTGTTCTTTTTAAATAAATAAATGAATGAATCAAATGCAGATTACCTTGAAAAAAATGCTTTTTATAGTAACCTTACTAGAGTTTCAAAAAAGTAAAAAAAAAAAAAAACAATCCACTGCCCTTTGTTTACAAGTTTGAAGAGTTTTCGCTTCCCATTCAGGAAGCTTTTTCAATCCAAAATGTCAGAATTAGCATTGAGTTCAAGGCTTTAAAGAGTGGATGAAAACAACACCTTGGATCAAAGCCATTCCGTCCCTTTGGAGAAATGGGGCCTCCTAAGGGGCGGACCTGTTCGTCAGGTTCAATTTGCATGTTTTCTAAGCCAAAACAACAATATTTAGAGTTGAAAAATCTTCCTGCATGGAAAGCGAAATGTCTTCAAACTTAGAAACAAAGTCCAGTTGATTGTTTTTTTAACTATTTGGAATGACTATGACCTAGATTACTGAGAATCTTCACCAACCTTACTAGATGTGTTTGAACTAAATTTCTGAAATAAAATATTTTAGAAATTCTACTCAATTCTTTTTTTCTATATACAGTAAAGACAATTAACAGCAAAAATCACCTAAATGAACTTCAGGCCTGAAAAACAACAACAGCTAAACTATACAGACAGGATTAAAGTCAATAGCAGGCCTTCAAAATTAAACTGGGCTGAAAAGTAGAGAATATAAGAAAGCACCAAGAATTCTGGCCAATCTAGAGAGATTTCTTCAGACAGAGATCCCCCAGTTTGTATGTTTACTCCTTGTCAAATGTCATAAGGAAATATTGTCTGATTAAGAAAAAATATCCAACAAATGAGATACTGGTAACAATAATAATAATAAAAAAAAAGAAAATAGAAACTTTGATAAAACATTGAATATTCTTTTATAGATTGTATAGCTGCTGCTGTAAAAGAAAATAACACGCTACTCAAATCTGGCACTGTTTTTTTAGACAGTTTAATAAAAAAAAAAAAATCTTTTCAAGGAGAAGAATTTTTCATAGGCTTTGCCTGTAGCTTTGATAAGACTGGGCAGACTCTCTCAAATAACTTCCCCTGAGACACAAACTGGAATGATCCAAGGATAACACATAATATTATTCTGTTTGAATAAGCCCAGATAAACAGTCTTATCAACGTAAATAAAATCCCAAACGTTCTAAGGTGCTTAGGGCTAAAACTAGATGCAGATGTGTAGATTATCCATTGGCCAGTGTTAGCTGTATTAACATATTAGAATAAATCTTAGCAACGCTTTCCGAATCTATTCTGACATATGAAGTCAGAATCAATGTTAAAACAGTGTAAGAGTAAAATGCCATCAGCCGGCAGCGACATCCTAAACTGTGATTTTTGTTTTTGTGGTTTACTTTGATGGTTAAAAGAACACATTGGGGGAAAAGCGGCAAAACAAGCAATAAAGATATGGTAATAGCTTCTTCAGCAGGGGCTTCCCATTGTGTGCAGTTTCACAGCTAGACAACACATTGAGTTGTTGGTGTGTGATTGTTGAAACCACAATAACAGAAACATTGCAGCTCTCGTTCCTCTCTGAAAAGCACTGCAGCTCTGCTTCCTGTCAGTAAATAGGACATTGTCTTCTTAATGTCAGGGTAACAACATGCACAGTCAAAAACAAATAAACAAGGTAGCAAAATGTAATACTAAAGCCCTTAGCCAAACAGTAACTTGATCGGCATCACGACTTCAATTTCCTATTGATGCTGTTACTTGTTCATTTAGCTCAGGCCATATCATGCAGTAATGATCATCCCATTTTCATTACATGGTAGGAGAGGAACTGGTGCGTCCTGCTCTCTGTACTTACTTGACCTTTGGTTTTTGATGAAGAAAAGCTTCAGCCTCTCCTTGAATGTGTTTTCATTGACATAGAACTCTACCTGCACCCTGCAGGATGAGAAATAAGGAAATCTCAATTAAATCAAAGTAAATCTGCATTATGGACCTTGAAAAAGTGTTAGAGATGAAACATTTTTATGAAGATCTATTTTTGATCCTGAGAAACTCCCATGTATGCAAGCTGCTCAAATAAAGAGAGTCTTCACCTCAATAGAAGAGAGTATTATTAACATACTGTAAAAATTTGTGTGCAGGGTTTGTGACAGATTAAAATCTGTTGTATTTCGCCAAAACCCAATGGATGTAGGAAATCTCCCAGAAAGCTTTCCACCATTCAGAAATTGAGGAACAGTCCTATAAGTGCAAGAAATATACAAGATAATACAGTATGACATTTGTCCTACTTGTGTCATCTGTCTGTCCTACTTGTGTCCATCCCTCTCAGTAATATGTTCATTCCATTGTATTTAAACCTCTTTAAAGGTAGTGTAGGATTTTAGCGAATTTTTGAAAAGACCCACCCTCTCCACTTTTAAAGAAAATGCATATGCACAACCCTGTACCCACTCCGAAAAGAAGGAACGTCTATTAAACGTGTGAGAGCGTGCACAAGCCCATTTCTCTGCTTAAAATTTGCTGTTTGCATCGCTTATACAAGCTTACTTTCCAAAGAAAGATTTGCAATTTCTCCACTACGTCAGACTCACCACTGGTAAGTGAAAATGGGGATAAGCACGTAAAACAGCCTTATGTAAACATATCACCAGAATGATTGAAAATTAGGAGGACCACTTATTTTGATGATCCACCCGGAAAATGAACATCCTCCACTATACCTTTAAGGTATTTTATAATTTCATAAATAAGATTGAAATGGTATAATCAATTTTTGCTTAAAGTGTGTTAGATGTAGATAGATGTAGATAGTTAGATGTGTTAGATCTAGAATACAAGATACATAAGAGTTTTCTTGCTGTTTGTTCATAATGATATCAAACAGAATAATTATTGACTTATACTCCGTTTTTATTTTTTTTGGTTAGTCGTTTTATATTATGATGAACAAAGTACAAATAAATTAAAGTACAAATAACGTGAACCTCTCTTTCCAGGTTTAGCCTAACTTAAAAGCTCAAACAGAAAAAATAAAATAATGTTTTTTGTGTATAACTGTTCATAATGTTCTATATGTGTTTTAAGTTTTTGAGATTAGTAGAACAGACAGCAATAATAAAATAAGTCCCAATGTGACCCTCTGTTATATGTATAACAATGTGAGCATGCTAGACTTGAATGCATATCTAAAATTAGTTTGCCTTTCCACAGGATGCTAAAGTATTATTATGGAGACATTTTGCAACACAAGAACACTTCAGTAACAGTGTACTTACCTTGATGTAGTATATGACTTGATGCATATTGAGTTTTAAACAAGGTAATGGTTTTAAATTGTTTTACTAAAGCATCAATCCAGCCATTGCAGCTCATGTGTGCTGCGAACAGGGCTTAATTATACCAATCTGCTCTTAATAATTTATGGATGCATTTGTAATCCAACTGTATGACCTGAAACATATTTAGAGTAACTCTACTATTCAGATCTATGCAAATGAGAGCACAGCAGCCTGATACATACTGAGCAATATGCCTCTCCCTGTAATATGAATTAAATACTAAGCCACATAGGGGTTGAAAGGTCCATTCTATGATATATACTTTATGTGCTTAAAAAGGCTGAGGTGTGTGGGATCTTGGCCAACTGATTGCTTTAGGATGACTAGTGACGTGGCTACAGAACCTTGGGTTGGTTGGATAATTGCAGGTAATGAGGCTGTACTATTGTTCGTTTCCTGAAGGCAATGAGATTGTTGTCACTAATAAACATCTACATTGTATGATAAGATGTATCCAAAGTACAAAAACTGTAGTGGGGTTAAGAAAAAAACCCAAACAGCCAATTACTACAGAAGGTGGCTTAAAAAAAATTGTAAATAGAAAATAGTTGTACAAGACATGATGCCTCTTCCAGCTTTATTGGCCTATAGAGCTGGCAGTGGGGCATGTTCATCTCTGGGTTATGATCTGTTAGGAATCGAATAGAGATGCATTGAAAAACTAAAAAAAAAAAAACATATCGAAAATGTTCTAATTAATGTCCCTATACATTTGGTAAATGCAAAAAAAGTATGCTATAAAATGTATACAATGCAAGATAAATAATGCTTCTGTCACCAAAGAAGAAGGAAAAGAATCAGTGAAAACAACAAAGGGATGTTTTGTAGAAGAACAACTCTGACAAACTTAAAATTAAATACCTAAATAACTAAATGCAAAATAAAAAAAAATGGGATGTAGTTAAATGCTCAGAAAATAGAGCTAATAAATAGATATAAGCAATAATTCAATTATACAATGTATAAATGTTTTTATTTGACGTTCCTGTATTTATGTTTATAATTAAACCGGTTTTATAATCATTCTAATCTTAAAATGTATTTTTAGTTACTAAGTTTTCAAATCTTTTTGCTTCTCTGTACACTTTAACTTTTTTTTGTCTGTTTCCTTTTTTTTTACTTCAGGTTTTTCTGACAGCCTTTTTTATTTCTGCCTGCCCCTTTTAGATTTCCATATCCATTAATACCTTATTATGCAAATGAGGGTAGATGCCCTGAAAAGGGCATTGGATGGTTAGGCTGTATCCTAGCCGGTCGGTCACAGTCACAACAAAGACACCTTCCTACCATGAGGTCATCATAGAGCGGAGATAAAGCAATTAGAAGCTTTACCTGAAAACAGTGTTGTAATTCCTAGTTTTAAGTGAAGTGCTGTCATGACACCAGGACAGAAGATGTGTTTTAGTTAGCTTCACACATAGATCTAGATGTACATTTGGATGTTATCCCCAATTGTTCATGAAAGAAACTGAAGACACTGTATCGGAAGAGTGAATTGGACCAGAGGAGCAAATTCAGTCTACCATAACCTTTCCAATATACTTAATATGGAAATAAGGATGTTTAACTTTAGCAAAAAAGTTCAGATGTCCCTACCAAGTTTTGATATTGGAAATCGATCCAACATCAGCCACAAAACTAATGGCCTCTATAGGGCTACTGAGCCTTGCTTCTGTCAGTGAGCCCCACAGCAGCTGTGGCTATGATGCAGCTCACCACCATCAGCGTGTGACTGTGTGTGTTTAAATGAGTAAATGTAGTGTTGCTTTGGTGTCCCTGTAGTAGCAGTTTTATTGTCTTATATCAGAAATCAGAATCAGAATATATCCTACAACATGGACCTATACTTACTTAGCAACAAAACAGTACATCTTGAAGTTCAAGTATGAGTCTTAGCAATAATAAAGTCTCTAATGCTGGCTGGCTTGCCAAACAAGGAAGCAGTTGTACTGCGTTATGTAGTCCTGTTTCTGACCTTATGCTCACTTAGCAACACAGAGATTGCAACATATAAACAGGGAGTCTGCAAGCTGGGAGTCACGTACGAATCTTGGCAAAAACAGGGTTCTTACTGGCTGACTCGCACGCAATCCGGTCACAAGCCAAGAACTTCCAGGAAATGTTATCAGAGCGTCCAGTCGTGCACGGGCATCCACACAGTGCGTTGTGGAGCCTATAAAAGGCCGCCCACAATGGATTGAAGGTGGGGGAAAAACTACAGATGTGAGGACATAGCGCTGAATGTATGAAGTGTTTAAGACAGCTGTATGAATTAGGTTTTGTAAATAAATGTTTCCCCCCTCCGGAGACAATGGAGTGAATCGTCAGCTTTCTTTCTATCATAAGAGAATTCTACCAATGAGCTTCCACATCCCATGACCTGAAAGGGCACTATAAATATATAGACCATTTACCATCACTGGAGGACATTAAAGCAGCACTAAGTAATACTTTAGTATTGTGATGACGCTGACACAGTCCCTCGAAACTGGGTTTTTAGTCTAAAATTGACCTGTTCTATTCGGAGGCTCTAGCTACCGCCGCTCACAGATCTAAACAACATGTTTTCCTTCAACTTCCTCTAACTCCCATAATCCCCAACTCCAGTTCCTGTTGCCTGCTGGTCTCCCACCCACATCTGCAGAGGAAAAACAGAACTAGGGTACCTAACTAATATGGGTAAAAACAAGAACATGGATAAAACCACATGAAACCCAACAGATTAAAACAAAGGGTCAGTATAGTATATTGGCTCCTAAGCCTCCTTAATGCTAATCTAAGTATCACTGAGAAGATCTAGAGGTTCTTGTCAAATCAGCAGCTCTGTGGTCATTTAGCTATCTGATAAAAATACTATGTTTTTCATTTCATTTCATTTCAAAAAGTTTATTTCAAACCTGCACACATTTTACAATACATATAATGACAAACAATACATATGCATGGCTTGAAAAGGTGATGGAAGAAGGAAAAGCTTATACATGTCCAATCCCCTCCCGCTCATCCCAGGGACATCAAATTATTTTAAATTGGAGGATTGTAGATAAGATATGTGCTTTATTTGTTGCAAATATCCACCAGTTCTCTGCTGCAGTGGAGCACTAAAAGATTTCATATAATATATTTGACAACCACATGCTGAGTAGCCTACTCTGGCCTTGCACTATTTCTTCCATAGTTAGGCTTTTAGGAACCAGTGATGTCCGGAACTTCGCCCTTTAAGCCTGCTGGTGGGTTAAAGGCTGATTAGTAGTCTGTGCAGGATCAATCCAGACCACAGACACAAAGTATCTGGTCACAACTTCAGAGTCAGTCTTTGGCATACATCTTTACACACTTAGATGCAACCTGTGCAACTGAGTAACATGGAGCAGAAATTATCTCTGGTCAGGAAGGAGGCTGAGATCATAAATCTTCTGATGTACGGTAAATACTGAAGACAAAGGTTACCAGCAGTAACTACAGAGGAGCAAGATAATAGAAAGATAGGGATGTTTTGAGCATCTAGTGAAACACATTACATTGCATTTATATTACTTTATTTATATGACGTTATTAGCTTGACACCTATGATTTCAAATACAGTATGCTCTA